GAAAATTGTGTTATTTATGACGAGTGTTAATTGAGGAACTTACAATATAATGATGGTATGGTTATATCACCTGCGCTATGAAGTAAATGTCTCGTTGTTCAATTACTGACGATAAGAATTCTGATCATAAGCTATTGGGAAAAAGACGCATAAATGGGATAATTTTACGCTTAGACATTTCTCCAGCAGAAGATAATATAATAAACGGACAATGACTGGGAAAGAGAAATTGCCAGCCTGTGCCCATTGCTCGTCATTTATTTTCATGTCCACTTCTTGCGCAGCTTTTGTCGCAATGTTTTCGCAACTGGGCGATGTTTTTAGTGGTGGTTGTTTTACTTTTCCGGACAGGTTCAAAAAATTCAGAAGATGATCCAGCTGATGATCCAGAAGAGACGCTTTGATGCGACTGGTCCTGGTATCAAAGTTGGCAGCGTAGAGGAATTTCAGGGGCAAGAAAGACGAGTGATTATTTTATCGACTGTACGAAGCACCAAGAAAGAGTTCCTGGAGATGGACAAAAACTTCCATCTCGGATTTCTAAACAACCCGAAGGTAGGATTTGTGGCCGCGGTCTCAACACAGGATGCCCACACAATTTGTGGGGTCTAGCCGTTAGTAAGATATAGTAAATGCATTGGATTTACCGTTTGCTTCATCTGTAGCGAAATATCTCTAAATATGTACCGTAAATAACCTAATAGACTCCCCGGGCGTCCAATTATTCTCTCTTGATTTTTGGGGGTCAAAGTGAGGGCGTTTAATAGATACGAGGCGTTCGTTCTCATTACTGTAACAAGCTCAAAAAAACTAAGCTGCTTTCGACAATTGCAAAAAATATCAAAAGAGTTTAAAAATAGCAGAATATCCACTCCATCAATTGATATGTTTAGGCCGTCTAGAGATCTCTATCGCTCTTTCAAATCCCAACGTCGATGTCAGAATCCTCACTCAGTGTTACTATGTCGCCATCGTTGATCTATCCTTACTTTGAACAGCTTGACATTGAGCAAGATGAAATACGCAAAGCTTTGTTAATCAAACATGAAACTGAATGAATTGAACGATTTTGCTTCTTTTTGCTAATTCCTACTAGTTTGGAGTAATTCTCATAGGGAGCGTCTATTAGACAGGGGGGATTATTAGAGATGGGCGGCTAATATAATTTTAACAACGTCGAGGGGGCGTTTATTTGGAAGTGGGCGTTTATTAGGTCATTTACAGTACACGGATCAATGCTCAATAATCGTTGTATTTCCTTCTCCGCGAACTATTATCTTCCTTCTACCTCAGAAGTGATGTTTTGGGTGATTTTAAAGGATTTTTAGGTTCGGACTGGCACAGTAAACAGCGAACTCCAGAATCCTTCGAAATCGTTCAAAACACCACATCTGAGGTGGAAGGAAGATAATATACCACGGATGAGGAAATACAACGTTTATTGAGCATTGATCCATTTAGATACTTACATAAAAATATAGCTCTACAGATTTAGCAAACTGTAAATCCAATCAATTTACTATAAACTTACGGTTACGGTTATCCTTACAGATTGTGTCGGGGGCCCTGTGGTCTCAATCACAGTTGCGTCAATAGTTTTATGCGGTCAATTCTTTTCCGTATTTGATTTCCACCTGCGTAATGAATACTTTTTTCAGTGCTTATCGGTGAGAGTTAAGTTTAATTTTGTTTCCTTATTTTTTAGAGGTTCAATGTAGCCATTACTCGTGCTCAAGCCTTGTTGATTTTAGTAGGGAATCCAGATATGCTTTGCTTGGACGAAAACTGGAGAAGGTTAGCAGGAACGTTTAAATGATAACATATACTAATGCTAAATTAATTAGTGACGTACAAAAAATTTTCCAGGAAAGAAATCAGTAATTAAAACTTGAGATGCAACCTTCAAATAAAAATACAAGATGAGTTGTTCAACTTGTCGAAGCCCCTGATTTTTTAATCTGGTAGGGATTTTAACAGTATTTACTGCTCTGAAAACGTGAATTTATGCGTCGCGTTCCTTTTATATTATGACCCTCTGCTGAAGCTACTTAAACCTATTTAGTCTTTACCTTGTAAACTTTTTAAATTCTTACCACGTACAGATTTTTTGAGTACTGCAGTGCAAATGATGCCTGCGTTGACGTGGAAAGAAAAGACAAAGTGGAGGACATTGCAGACACTTTAAGAAGACTTAAACTTTTGTCCGCTGCATCATCCGGTAAGTAGTGATCCAAATTATAATTGTCGTTATTTTTCTAACATAACTAGAGGTGGCTGGCCTCTCCACAGGCTTTCTCAGGGATTAGTGGAAGCACAGGGTTTTAAAGCGGGGAACTAGAGACAAGCGAAAAGTGCGAGAGGGGGTTGATGGGAACAAGCAAACATCGCGAGCGGCTGCGGACGAGGCACATTAGTTGTAATGTGATCGTCCTGGAGAGTGCACTCCGTAATAGTAATAGAGGATGTTAGCATCAACAACGAGTACGAGTACGAGAACGACTTCAAGCCGTACTCGTACTTGAAGTCGTTTCCTCGGCTTTCTATGTTAGCGATGAAACCGAGTTCGAGTTTATAGAAAATAAAATTATGGGATTCCGCATGACTGGGCGCCAAATTTGAGTCGAGATAGCGCTTCCACAACAATTTCGAAAACAAAAAATGACTCTAAAAAACGTTCAAGACTGCTTGTTACTCAGTTACATGGTTAGTCGCGGTCTTAAAACACGCTAAAACCCATCAAATTCAATACAACAACCACACTGAATAAAGAAGTAAGTATTCTTTATTGATATCTTCGACTGTTGGGATATTTTCGACCAAATAATGGCAATTTTCGGGGTTATTTCGTGAGCCTGTGAGGCCCTGTGAGAGACATGAAACTTTCCCGGGTAAATGCAAATTTACTCTGTGTAGGAAATATCGCGTTCGGTTGCTTTTCCTCGACTTCAAAAGCAGTATTTTACATAAAACATAATATAAGGAATGTTCAAGATGATAAAGAGAGGCTAGAAACGAAAAGAAACTGTATTAACCGATCGGAATTTACCTTTGAAAACCAGCTCTTCCCAGTCGTTCTACCCACTTCGAGTTTTTGGTGAGAACTTGTCGTAGTGCAACTTGACAGGACGACTTGAAAACCTGGAGATGCGCAGAACGGATGCGCAGTACGCAAAATCGCTGATCTCGTTCTAGAACTCGGACTCGTTGTCGATGCTAACATCCTCTAATAAGTTGACGGCGACTGACGTTTCGACAACCTGCGCGGTAGAGGCCATCTCGTGATGACGCCAAAAATGACACCACACTGGTTGTGGAAACGTTAGTCACTATCAACAACAGTCCTATTCAGGACTGCACTCACCCGGCCGGATCAACTTATGTCCAGTTTTGTCCAATTTTCACCTTGAAGAAATTAGTTCCACACAATTCGCTTGAAGGTCTACATGTAATTTCTGCAGGATAATGACGCTAATAGATAATATAGTACATATCAGATCAGGGTGTGCCTTAAAAAATAAAGCTGTGCAAAGTCGTGTAACCGTAAATATTTCCCCAGTGCTTTCGCAAATTCAGTGTCTATATAAGTCTATATAAGTTAGTAAAAATCGTCATCATCCTTTGGGGAGTGCAAGAATGTTTCGCACAGCATGGCAATTTCCAAATCTGATATTTCAACTTCCCGTATCCCGAGGAAAACGCTGAGGGCATGTTACTGAGCGTCCTTGAGCGAACAAGAAGGGCAGGGTTCCACAGATCATCTTCTCCTCAGCAAGTAAAAATAATTGAACATATCCCAGTTTACTTGCAATTTTGGTCGCAAAGGTTAGAAGAAGGCAAACGGTAAACGTCTCAGATTAGGAAATGGGAGTAGTATAGTAGGGACCGAATTATCTGGTTTTTTTGGGGAATATATTAACGCCGATGACGTCATAGTCTTTTGTCTTTATCTGATAAATATAATGCAGTGGAATCTCATAACGATAATGTCATGCTGAAGTTAGGTGGTTTAACAGGTTTGAAAGGTTTTCTAGTTATTCTTAGGTCCTTTTAATTGATTGTCTTAATGAGATTCTATCGCATTTTATTTATGACAAAGACAAGAGGCTATGACGTCATTGGCGTTAATGTATTCCCCGCAAATTAAAGAAAATACCGAACAATTACCGAATAATTCGGTCCTTACTACACTACTTAATGAGCATACAAAAGTTGACCAGAATACATTCTCTTGGTTAACACTTGTGTAAACTACACAACTGTATGGAGTTACAGGTTGTTTACCATTTACAAAAAGACGAACGCAAACATACAATTCAAACCAAGCCAGAACTACATGTATATAAAGCAACACCACAAAACCGACTTTACTTTCTGTTTTAAAAAAGCGGACAAAATTCCGTGTGTTCTAGATGTTTTCCAAAGTGGATCGACACTTGTTCTTATGGTATGCTTTAAGGTAGCCGCTATATAGAGTTACTGATATCGTTGTTCGGTCCTGGTATTTTTCAGAAGTTGATGAGGATTCGGAAATCAGTCAACGTGAGCTTCAAGAACACCCGGAATGGACCAGGCGTGAATGAACAGCTGATCGTTTCGCTTACTCTCTCTTACCCTCTCTATTCGATTCAGGAATGATACTACATTTTAGTCACCATATATTAGGTTTAAACAGAGGGCAGTAATTAAGTAAGTTAGTCAGGAGCGTAGCGTCCATATACGCACATACGCCCATGCGTACACCTGAAATCTGGAAAAAAGATATTCGTTTTGCTTCCTGAAAGCATTTTTATCCCTAAATCGGGATGACTGCTAAATCGTTCGCATTATATTGGTGTCTTAGCCCGTTAAAATGGTAAACGTCTCGCCCTTTGCTTGTAACCTCCTTGATGGCGTCACTTTTACCCTATTTTCCATTAACACTGTCAGCTAATTGCACCATAGATGTAAAATTAAAAGCTAACTACTGCTGTTTTGCATTTTGCCACTTATACATTAAATCATAGTTATTAGAGGAGACTGGTTATGAAAAGCGGCAAACATCAATGATAAAAACAACAGTGCTGCAGTTTATGTTGGAAGTACCGTGAAAGTGCACAATCCTTTGTTTTCTGTTGGCAAATTGTTACGGAATAAATTAATGCAACGTTTTTATTGGTCAATACAATCAAAATGATAGGAATTCTTTTGCACGTTGTGCACTTTCAGGTCCACAAAAACATATAACAAAGGAGTCTGACGGGTTTCATAACCATTCCACTCAATTAACTATGATTAAATCGTGCTTATTTGATGAAAATGTCCGGCGGAAAACTCAAGAAATGACATTTCCAAGCCCCTAAATTTAAAAAATCTTCAGTGGGAGCATGCCCCCAGAACCCCCTAGTTTGGAGCACTTTCGGCGGTCTAACTTCCCTTCCCATGCGTACACCTTCACCTTCCGTGTCAAACAAAAAAGACCAGCCGAAGGAAAGATCCTTTTACTTATAAGGAACTAGTAGGGAACAGTTAATTTCATGGGGACTATAACCTATTTTATTGATTAAAATATACTCTTTATATCAATTATATGTGTCGATATCCTCCACATCAACAATTTTTTTTCCAGATCACGAAAGGCATAAAATGAGTTTGATTAAAAACAAAGTGTCGGGGACTGCGCTAGAAAACGTCGCCCGATTCAGCTTGGCGATCCGTAGACTTAATAGAATTTGAATGCCTTGAAATTTCAGTAAAACAGAAGTGGGTCAAGTTAAATTGTTATGATAACTCCTAGACTGTTTCAACGTTTTCTGCTCTTACATATTTCATATGTATTGGAGTGAAATTAGAGAGTTAAATAAGCAAAGGGGAATTGTTTAGGAGATGTAAGAAGTGTAATCTGAAATAAAAAAGGTGTATTTTCATACCTTCTCGAAAACTGTTGCATGCTTCTTTAACTTAACAATGCACAAGGAACAATGTGTTTTTATTTCAACGCCTCAAAATTTGCTTGCTTATGGAAAGTACCCGTGCATATCACGTACGATGCATGCTTTATCCAGCACATGAAGCATTGTTTGCACAAATCTTAGCACATACTATACATTTCACAAAAACTGGCAAGGACATAATGTCATGTCAGTATAGGCGAACTTTCCCAACCATATCCAAGTTCAGCAACAGAAGGAAAATTTCTCCGTGAATTGTTTACTTCTTCTATGAAACGTGAAATTAGGCATTTTCACGCCGTACTTGGGCAGTGACAGCAAAGAAATGTACAAAAAAAGTGCACCAGCAAAGTCGTTGTTTTGCTAATCTAAACGTATTATGTGTTTTCACATAACGTCATGGCGGCCATATTTGTGTCTCAAAACAATGAAACGGGGGCCATGTTTGTGTCCCAAACCAGTCCTGTGGGAGTTAAACTCTTTTCTTGTGCAAACGCTTTCTTTTGTTCCAATAAATCTGCATAGATGCTGGCCACGTGAGTGAGAACACAGAATAGTTTTTTAGACGTTCTTGTTGCCATCTCCATCGTCAGATCTTAATGATCCTATTGATAGGTGGCAGGAAACTATAGTTATTATGAGTAAAGGAAGATCACCATACGAGACTACAGGGATGAAGCTAAGGACGCTTTTTTGATTAGTCAAGCAGGCTCTTTTGCTCAACTGCAACTTCAAAATTACCCCATATATTTGTTTTCCAGAGCAGTTTGACCCTGTGGTAAACTCTCTGGCAGCCAGTGAAATTAGCCGGCAGCAGGCTCTTAGTGATCTCCCTAGGACTTTGTTGAATAGTTTATTACATGTACCACCACAAAGTGCTGTGAACTCATGCCAAGTTATTAAGTGCACTATTAAAATTATTATTCTGGCTTCTTAAATGTACATTTTTGGGTCCATTCAAAAGGTGGATATCGTATTCCACTGGATAAATCGCTATCCAGTGGATAAGTATTAGGGGAACCAATTGCCCTATCCAGTGGATAGCGCTATCCACCTTTTGAAAAACTAGGGCCCGATAAACATTATAAACCCTTTCATTGTCTTCACCAAAAGAGCAGTTCAAATATTATTTCATGACAGTGCATAGGTCAAAAATAATGTCAATATAACACAGCAGTGCGAGAGCAGACTCTTCAAGTCCAGGAGAAAATGATTAAAAATCCACTGGATCTACACTAGCAATTGCTGCTTGTTTTCATTTCACCATCTGACAGCCCTGCTTAACAACGCTTCTGGACAATATTATTTGCCGTTTCCATCCAGGATATCTTTAGCTTCATTTATTTTTGCAGCAAGAAAAGGAGACCCACCTGCGAAATGCAACAAAAAATAACTGGGGTGAGAAACATGGACTGCAAAGTCACTTGGCAACAGGCAGGTGATAAAGTGACAATTTTCTGAAAAATTGGAAAGTGCCTGTCAGAAAAATGTATCGAAAGTTATATGGATTTGAAGTTAACCTAGAACTCAAAAACAGGCACTGCACACTTCCTTCAATTGTCCTCCAATTCCTTAAACCCAGAGCTATGCAGGAAGCCGTGGAAATGAAATTTGATATTCAGTGTCATGATAAAGTTGATTGTTATTCATTCAAAATATTTCTTCATTTCCGACTGGCTAAAATCCCAGGGATAATTCATCATAACCAGCTATACTGTTGACCAAATTTGGAAGAAGTTTGTGTCATAAATTTCAAAAATGACGTCAATTCTACAGCATAATAGCCACAAAACTGGACAGTTAACCAAGAAGACCTGGGGACGAAGTTGAGTTGTTTTGGTAGTGAATACAAACTTTTTATTCTTTTTGCGAGGAAGAAATAGGCGAGCTATTGGCTACCACAAAACAAGAACAGCAAGAATACAACTTGACAAACGACATCTGCTATTTAGAGAATAACTGCAGAGCTCAACATCTCTTTATCTCCTAAACTTGCCAATAAACATGCACTATCAAAGATCAACACAACATCGATGGAGGTAAGCATGTTTTAGCTTGTTTTTAAACTGGGAATTATTTTTGAAATGAACGATAAAACAACTATTGAATTCGGTTTTCTTATCATCTGAAGAATTAAGGAGATCTTGGAGGGTGTTGTCTGCCTCAGCCAATTAACAAGCTCCTTGATCTCCATAATTCTTCAGATGCTGATGATACTTAGCCTCATCCACAAATTGTTAAATATTATTGATACAAGTCTGCCAGACTCCTAACAGAATCTAAAATAAACCATGTTGGACTGCCTATTGAGGAATCCTACAATTTTACGAGAAATAGCCTTCATGCATGATCATTTCAGACAAGCAAATATCACCACCAAGCCTGGCTTGGAGTTTTACATTCACTAAGTCCTACACAGATGAATTCCAAAGGCAGTACAGTTGAAAAGAATATCCATGAAGAAATAGTACTGATGCACAGAGTTTTGTTTTTGCTGTAATCAGTTTCTTATCTCAGATAATTGTTTTCCCTTTGTTTCAACTTCACTGGCACACATTTCCACACCCAAAAACAAAAGAAAAACAAAAATTACCTGACATAAAAAACTAACTACAACATTTATGATGCTTGATGGTGAAATCTGTTCACATGATGTACATATGCTTGAGGGCTATTGCTGTAGACATAATAATATTATGACCCAGCAACTGTATATCTGTGATAGATGCGCAATTTAGGCTAGCTACATTGTACCAGATCAAAAAGATTCAGCCCTTAAAGAACTGTTCAACCCACCTCTGTCTGGATGATTTATGAGCATAACTCTTCTGTGAGCCTCTCTAATTTTAACTTTGTTAGCGGAAGGACTTGAAAAGAAAGCAGAAAAACTTTTGGTGTTAAAGGTATTGTAAAGTACTTTTACAAGGAAAAAATCAAGTTCAGATTCTTTGACATTTTGTGAAGAAGCATGTACTCATTTAAGCGAATGAGGATACAATGAAATGTACCTAGAAAAATTGCGCTAAATAATGTACGAAATACAATTTACTGCATATTTATCAAATTTTTTGGAGGATTATACAATCAAAAAAGTCCATTTCTTTTCAACATCAATTAAGGTTGAGTTTTCTCAGTATTTTCACATTTCATGATTGAAGGTCATTAATTCACAGTCTGGTCAAAACACTAGGGATTTCAATGCATCATCTCATTCACATGGTTGAGCTACTTTCTCTGACAATAGTCTTGAAGGAAAATGCTAGGCAATCGAAGTTAAAAACCTTGAGTAACAACTACATCGCTTTATGGAGGTGGGTGCATGGGATGTCCAGGGGCTTCCACTTTTGGCAAAGCCAGCCCCTAGACCCACGACCGCAATATGGCTGGTAAACCCACGCATTCCAGCCATGAGCCCCCCAACATCAATGGAACAAGGCACCTGTCACACTGATTTAACAGTGGAAAAATAAAGGGGGGAGCTAAGCAAAGATAGTGGCCACCAGGAAACACTGTACTAAGCACTTGCAGATGATGCAAGCAAGGCTGCCTAAGCTTGAGCCACCACACTGACCGCTAACTGACAACACGCGACTGCACTCCTTGTTGTTAACTGTATTAAATTTCACTTTACTTCATTACAAGAAGTGTGGAAACAACAGTACTACACTCACTCACAATCATGTTTCAATCAAGATAGTCATAGTTATAAAGGCTTTCCATTGGAAAACCCTTACCACTGACTTGGTTGAATACTAAATGGGGTTGGCCTACACTAATTTACCATAAAATAACAAGGTTTCCTTTAATCTCTATAAATTTTACCTTGCAAATCTCCTAGTCTTAATAATGTCATTGAAGAAAATGCATTAGGCCATAGAAACTCTGGACTAAACTTGATGGATATAAATCATAACATACCTGATTCCAAGAATTAAACCAGCTTCTCTTTTCGTCATCTTAGGTTCAAATCCGCCCCTGTAATAATGGCTGAATTCCTATTTACAAAAACAAAAGTAAAACATCATTTTGTGACATTCTTTTGAAAAACCTGTTACCAAGTTTCTGATTTGCTTAAATCAGATTTGTAGACTAACTCAACCCATTTTTAATGTGAACGAGACAGACACTTAAACCTAAAAAATGCCCCATTGGACTAAAACCTGATTGTGGAAAGTCCTACAGTAAAGGAACATAACTCCTGAATGCCTTCTCAAACTCATGGATGCCCAAAGGGCATTTCACAAGTTTCATGTATTGGTGTGGCTTGAGATTTGCAAATGAGTCACTCACTCCAGTTCAATATGAAAACGCATTTTTGTTGTTGTCACTGAAGAGTACTTTCGGCTGTTTCAGAAGTACATTTACTCGCTACCTCATAAGGGAACCCAGGGAACAAGGTTTTCATACTCGTGTTCGCTGTCCATTTGCTGAAGAAGTGTCAACACTCACTGCCAATAATTTCTATCAGTCTTGTAGGTTGTGTATATACATTTTATGCTATGAGTATCTCGATCATGAGCACAGCTAAGACGGCCCAGCAAGCCAACTAGGAGCTGGTCATTAAACTGGTTCATAATATACCCAGGAAAGATGAAGATGTAACGATGAATATTACATGAATTTCATATATTGGAACTATGGAATGAAGAAATACACGCGAAGAAGATCATCGCAGTTAAAGACGCAACTCATGCAGTTGAGAAAAGATAGCCTAAAAAATTCAAGAGCTGTGTCTTTGATTGTGATGATCTTCTTTACATTTTTTTCTTCATTCTCCGGTTCCAATATAAGCTTATAAAATTCAAATATTCATCATTCAGATGACAGTCACTCTAAATTCTTTAAATTCAAGATTTCTTATGCCAAGACAAAAATTTAAAACAAATCATAAAATAAGATGTTGTTCTCGTAAATTCATACAAAAAATTCTCATCCGCTGACTTTTTTTACATTTTCTCGTAAAAAAAGAAATCTTTTCCTTAAAAAGAGAGATTCGGAGCTATCTCGAATTTAGAGTGAGTATAAACTCAAGACTGGATTTATTTCTTAGTGCAAGGGACTTACCGGTATTTTGGGAATAATCTTTGGTATCTGGTTCAAGTTAACCTTTCTGAATGCTATCAAGGCATAGCGACCTACACAAGAAAATAAGGAATCCGCAAGGTTTGTGTCAGGACGTAGAACTCTATGCACTGTCAGCATATTACATAAACACGTGAAAAAATATATCACTTCAATAAGGTTATGTAGAGACAAATTTATCAGGAAAAAGAACCTGCAACTGCCGCTCCGGCTACACCAAGTCCTGCTAGTATAAGAGTTGTCTAAGAAAAAGCGAAAGAATAAAGATAAAGTATTAAAAGATGCTCGGAAGACGGTTCATAAACTGACATCCACATGGAACACAACAGAGTTTACCCACCATTGCAGCTGATTGCAGTGACTTCAATGACGCAAGAGAATTCCCAGGGTGCATCACGCTAAGAAACAATCCCGAGGATCCAAGGGAGCAGCAACGAAAGGCATCCGGGATATCATAGTTTACACGAGTCATTCCGGTTCCAAAATGGATAACTTTGAGGAAGATCCTGCCGCCGATTTTTTGGCCAGAGAGCAAGATGATCTCGCGGAGTTAGGAGAGGATTTTGGCGGCGGAGGAGCCGAGACAAACGTAAGTTAAGTAACGCCCTGGTCTGAGTAAATTTTAGGGACAGAACAGGCAGACTTTTTCTGATATTGGCAACGAAGTACTCGGACATGTTGTAGCGTCTTTTAAAGAACATACATCAGCGTTTGATGTAAAATATTATGGTTAAAAGCTAGCTATTCTCATTAATTTGTATTTAGTTGTCGTGTTCTGCTTAAATTGTAATTTCTTATACTTATTAGACTTAGAAATTACAGGCAGATGGAGAACTTTTTTAAATTTCTGTAGTTTAATCATTTGGTCTTAATACCGTATTTGTCACCACCTAGCACCTAAGGGAGGGTAATCTAAAACAGTTTTAAAATTGAAACCATAGCTATTTGTAACGTTAAATCGTGTAGATGTTCGTCGAGAATAAAAATAAACTTCACGCTACAACGAATGTATCAAAATGCTGCAAATTATCATCAAGACTTCTCTTAGTTCCGTGATTATGAACATCACAATTTGAAAATAAGAGCTACCTGGTTAATCTACCTGAAAAGTTACCTTCTTTTTCTTGTTATAACGCATTTTTTTGCAGTTTTTATTTTTGTTGAACTAGGGTTTTAAACGATAAAATATTAAAGCAAGGCCTTATCACTTATTGACCGTGCTTAATCGCTTGAATTTAATTTTTAATTTTCATGATATTTGTATCTGTTGAAGTAAAAAGAGTTCTGTCAAGCGTCTTTCAAATGTTTACAGACATGTTACTTGTTTTACTAGCATTCAATGGAAACTTTTGGCAGTTGACCATTGTGTAATTTGAATGCTAAATTGAAGAGAATGTAAGAGTTACCTGCAAAAAGTGGATGTTTAACAAAGTTTAAATATATATATATATTTTTGCACTGCAGGGATTAGATGGGTTTGGAGACAGTGGGTTAGACACATTGGATAATGAACCAGTTGTCAATGGGTTCGCTGAAGAGGTATTTGTAAACTGGCTCTATAAGACTCCAAACCTGTATTACTTGCGATATTAGAGAGATTAAGATTCACTTTTACAGCAAATGGCAAACGTCAGACTCAGTTGAGAATTCCTCAGAATAGAAAATAAGCAGATAAAAACAGTCCCGAACGATTCCTACAGTTAAAACTGGCGAAAACTACTTATTTTTCGTGTAGAAGCAATAAAGAGTACACAGAAAGTAAGGGGAAAACTTGGTCACGTGGTACAAATTCACGTCTGCCGTTTGGCGTAAACGCTAATCTTAATCTCTCTAGTGGTGTGCTAATCATTGCATAGAAACCACAGGCGTGCGAGGTGAGAATTGATTATGGAAATTGTTCACCCTGTTATCGTGGAAAATCAGAAAAGTTATTTTAGTCAAAAAAATATCAAAACTTGTATTTTGGACTCAAAATATACGCAGCAGAATGGTCATAAAATGCTGATTCTCTGGATTGATCTGCAAGGGTTTTGTTACTCAAGGTTGCATAGCACCAAGAGTCATAATCTGCGAACGTTTTTTCTTCTTTTTATAAATACTTGAGATGTCAATGATTTAACCTTCAACTACTCGAGGCAACTTCAACTACTCATCTGATGTTACGTATATGTGTCATGGATGTTTTTATAAGAGTAGCTTTGTACTTGACTGTCACACACTCTACTTGCAGCACTTCATCGGCCAATGGAAATTACTATGTCTAGTCTACAAATTGAACTAGTCTATTTATTTTCGAAGTTCTCTAGTTTGGGAAATGTATATTTATTTTTCATACTGAAGTCTTCATTGATGTTTCCCTGATATCGTAGTGGTATTGCCTTTGATCGTGGAAGATTACTGTACTTGAAATTACCGCATTATTGCCTAGACATCATTGGAAATTTCACTTTAGTTTTATAAAATGTAACGATCGAACCATAATCTTCAGTCCAGTTTAAGTTTAGTATGACTATTCTATGTACCATAAGGCAGTCAGTAGTTACTGTGTAACCTATGCCTGGCTGCACACTGGCTCCTTAAGAATTTATCTCCTCCTCATTTCTTATCTAATCTCCCAGCAACCTCTAGGTAACACTTTAAGAGTGTCTCCTTTCCTATACATTGTTGTGCATTAACAAAAGTGGTCCACAGTCAAAAGGCTTTAAAGTTTATATTGCTTTGACGTGCCCCCAAGCAGGAATTCTTATTGAAACCAAGAGGGAGTTCAACAAGACAAAGTGTGACCCTTATAATGTGGAGGCCATCAGAACGCCAGTTCAAATTATTATTGATCAGTTGGGTCAATCCGATTATTTTGATTGTTGATTGGGTGATTCCAGAAAATATCCATACCATACCACAGACTTATTTTGTATTTATTGAGACGAACTTACAATGTAGGCAAATACATGTAGCTGATATTTGTCTCTGGTGAGATGAACATTCATGTAGCTACTGACATTCATTTTCCATTTACAACAGAGTTCTCATCAGCCAGTTGCCCAGCTTCAGAGAGAATCCGAACCAGAATCTGTTAGGTAAGTTTTTTTGCCATGTTCTTATCAGTTCACAGGGTTTATCATGTTGGGGCACTTACAAAAAGAAGGACAAAATTACTCTGTAACACATGAACGTTTTGCTATATACTGTACTGTTTGAATGGTCAAAATTTAGGATAAAGTTGGAAAGTTTTAAGTTGCAGAGATGTTTCTAAAGCGGAGAATGGGAAAATGAAAAATGGGAATTCAGCGTAACTTGAACCCTAGCCCTATCAGTAACTTGAATTGTAATTCTTTGTTTTGTTCTCAATTTTCATTTATGATTTTCCCATTCCCTGTGATTTGTTCCCCCAATCCCTGTTCCCCATTTCCTGTTTTAGTAACACCCAAGTTGCAGTCATCTGGTCTGTAGTTAAAGGCTTTTACCTTGCCTTATGCTAAAGGATAGTTTGGTCATGCCATAATCAAAAACATACATGTCTGTCTCTCTCACATGGAACCTAGAATCATCTTGTAGTATAGTAAAACACACACTGTCTTTTACTTCAGTATACTTCAAAGGTGCCATGTTTTGCTAGAAGACTTTCATTTGTCAAGTATTGCAAAAGGAGCTTGAGAATAATGTAATATTACTTTTGTCATGCATGTAACAAGAGAATGGGACAAAAGAAGAAATATTAGTCCCAGCTTAGTGCATACAGACTCATGACATCTCAGACATGGGTCAGGAGCTTTAAAAGGACTTGCTGTAAATACATCTACAAATCAGTAGACTGGAGAACATGTCTAGGCAACACTGTAGGGTTGACTGACAGCCTAATTAATACAATGTTATTGTTGTTGTATACTGACATTTTTAAGTTTCAGGTCACTAAGTCTAACTGTGAGGTAGAAGTTTTATTATAATGTTGATACTAATTAAGCACCATAAACAGCAGGTTGTCCTTTATAGCAAATCCTGCTTGGCATAAATCTGCTTGGTGCAAGAGCAATTCTCAAGTGATAACTGCCGCACCCTCTCTACCCTTGGGAGGTGTGGTTTTAATACTTGTGGACATGTTGTTGTCTTTAAAATTAATAGAGACCTTTAGATTCTAAGATGAGTATGACAACAAGTTCGAGATTTTCTCAATACTAAGTAGTACTTGCCTGTGAACCAGCGTCATTTTGGGGGGAAAACGAGGTAGCCGTCATCACTCTACTAGAAGTTTTAGCGAGAATGTTGTGGTGGCGAAAACAAGATAACAAATGTTAGAAGTTTGATCATTTTGCGATCAGGAGAGGGTGTAACCTCCTTCACTAAAGGTAACAGTTATAACTTTTGTAATGAAAAATGGCTTTCTGGAGAGTCCATATTTTGAGAATAGATGAAAAAACTTTAAGTCAAATTTTGTACAAGTTTGTAGTCGTCCTCGTCCGTGAATCTAAAGGTCTCTAATTTTTATCCACAAAAAGGAAAGGAATTACAATTTTTTTGAAATAATATATCTCATTTCAGGAAATGGAGGGAAGAAAAGGCTGCCCTCCTCAGTAAAATGGATAGTGAAGAAAAAGAGCAAATAGAGGAATGGCGTGAAAAAGCTAAAAAGGAACTTCATGACTGGTATGAAAGACGAGATGAACAGTTAGGAAAAACACAAACAAGTAATAGGTATGTTTTTTTTTGCCACGGTTTTCTTCTTGGTACAGTGGGTATTTCTTTTATATTTTTTGTAATAACAAGCTATGGCTGTATAATACATGTATGTGTCAAATTTTGGGATTTTACGTAGAGCTTCTCAAAACCAAATCATTTTGGCTTGAACAGTACTGTGATGTAACTCAAAAGACATGTAGTGAGTAATATGGAATCTCTTTTGATAAGTAAAGATGGTAAATTTTAAGCTCAGTGAGGAAATGAGAAATAATGTGATCAGCCTGTCATGAGCGCAGGACAAAGAAAAAATCTGAGTTACCGACAGGAATTAAACCTACAACCTGTATGACCTTCTGTCAACCTGTCAGATGCTCTAACCACTGAGGTACAAAGCACTTGTGGCAAGCTGGGCCATGTACAAGGTTCAAATATGATATGCGTCCCGTGTACTGCTAGGATCAGCAGTGTCTAAATCGTCATGTGTGTGTTACGTACATGCACTTGGGAAGTTTCTTGTATGCTTCTTTCATACATGACTTAACAACCTCCCAGCTCTAGATTCACCCTTCAGTTTGTATTGTACATGTATATGCTTGTGATAAAAGGGAGAATTTGACTTCGGATCAAGACTGACTTAAGGCGAGTTCAATTGACAGTATTCCAGACTCCAGAGATGATTTGTTTTGGCAGTCATTGCATTGCAATGTTTGTAAATGTGCTTAAAATAAAATATTGCAATGTGTGTAGTGTTTCATTGGTCCAAAAGTCATGGTAAGTTATTGTCGATGATGTGGGAAGTGGTTGCCCAGTCTCCAAACTAGTAGCTCGTGTATAAAGTGCCCGACCAAAGCCAAGAGAATACATTTCACCCAGAATACAAGTATTAACCCTTTAAGCCCCAATATCCACAAACAAATTCTCCAAACTGATCTCTATACATTTCCTTACAGAATTAGTTGGGAGAATTGATAAAAGATAAGAGATTTTTCTCTTTGTGATCATTTGATTAATTCTCATAGATGTTACACTTGACAATCTATGGATATTGTTGGGAGAAAATTGATGTTGGTCACTATTGGAACTTAACAAAACACAGGGTTAACAAAACATTTGCGTGTTTCTGTTTCAGAATAGGCTCAATCGAACACACCCTTAGGGTCTACTTCTACCTGCCCCTTTATTCATTTGTGAAAAAAAGCTTAGTTTTTTTTGGAATCTCCTTGCAGGGCAGACGAGGAGGCTTTTGTCTCAGACCGTGATGATACTTCCTCGACTGGGCATGACTGGGAACGTGTGTGCCGCAACTGTGATTTCAATCCCAAGGGAACAAAAAATACTAAGGATGTATCACGCATGCGTTCAATCTTCTTGCAGCTAAAGCAAACACCTCTTGCGAAGGATTAAACTTTGCTTCTCTTAGGTCAATTGTAAATGGATTATTTTTTAATCATCTCATGAGTTCAAGCCCTGGCTAAGTCAGGAAGAAACTGTAATCTTAGTTTCAGCTACTGCTTATCAGTATTATTATCATGTTGGTTATTTACCATTAACCAAAAGAAAATGGAAATTGTTTTTGGAATATAAATGGAACATGCTTTCTAAGCTCTCCCCTGTGGATAATTTTCGAGAGTATAGCTGATGTGAGAATTTCCTTCATCTCCTATGAATACTTAGGGCTAGGAAACAGGAAATTGTGAATCAAACTAAGTTGAATACTGATTTAACCTGAAATCAATTTTTCCTACAACATAGCCACTTCGGGAAAGAAGTATTTGTGGTCAGAACATTCCAAATGGGTCTTTTTGTTTCATTAACAATTTTGGGTGGTACATGGATGACTTGAGATCAAGCTCCATTTTGTTTTTCTTGGTAAATAAAATTATAGAATTAGCGCTAACACGTTCTAAAATTTGTCGTGATCTCGGGTAAGTAAATGGAAAGTGTTCTTAAACGAAAATAACCAATTGAGATTTCCAAATATGTTTTGTGAATGGTAAACAACTGTGTTTTTTTTTTGTGTGTACTTTGTTTAATGATCAAGAACAAGAAGGTAGAGGAACTTTTTGGTCTAAAATTAACGTGAGAAAATTAACTGTTTACTTGAGACTTAGGTGTGGAGAAAAACCGTTTTTTGTGGGTTTGTCGATTAACTCCTGCATTTACTTATGATCTTCTCTTCTTTTAACAATTCTCTGAGATTTCATTACTGCAATTCAATACCTTTTTATATCATGCATTTTGTATGGCACTGGCTTAGCTTGATTGTTCTCACCCGAAGAGAGGCAAACAATGGAGCTTTTTACCAATGTCACTCGAGCAATTTTTAAACGTGAAAATATTAATTTCTTCATAGATAAATCGTCATATATGAATTAAGGAAACCTGCAAAGTTTTGTTAAAATCGGTGTTAAACTCTTAGAAACATGAGATCCCAAATTTGCGGAGTCAAAGATGCATGAGTCAGCAATCGTGCTTCTCGCATACCATGATTTCTCTATATAAGTATTTGCAACTTTAGGCTTTCACATTTTCGAGAGTGCGCATTTTTTTGTGGCGTCGCAGTTTCACCAAATTCAGTGTGATAAATTGATCTATGAAGAAATATCTTTGTTTCACTAAAAAGCATTAACAGTAATTATACCCTGAGAAAGTGGCTGACATTTCGAGACGCCACTATTGGTTTCCCCGCGAAATGACTTTTGAGGAACGAGCGCAGAAATTCCATACTGATGACGTGTCACTACCCAGATTTGGGTAGTGCTTCTGATTGGTTAAAGCAAATTCCTCTTGCGGCACATCCAATCAGAAGCACTACCCAGATCTGGGTAGTGACACGTCATCAGTATGGAATTTTTGCACTCGTTCCTCAGACGTCATTTCGCAGGAAACCAGTGGTGACGTCGCGATATGTCTGGTGTTTTCTCAGGTTATAAAAATTGCAATCTTGTAGACAGTATAGCATCAGTAAAAAGGTCCATTTGAAGGGACGGATACGTAGAAAGAGAGAATGATATATTTAATGAAATTGTCACTCCGCTAACGTTTTCTTGCTAATACGTCCGCTGATTCATCAAGAACATTGTGATCCATGTAATCCCAAAATCAACCAAACAATTCCTTGTCTAGCAATGTTACTGAATTTTTCAGTAGAACAAACAATTTCGAAATAAGAGCATTAGAAGCAAACATAGCTTGAATTGTACTAGAAAACCCAGCGTAACTGGTATTAAAAGGTAGTAGAAAATAACGATAGTTTTCCTTTGTTTGAGTATATATGTTGTTAGGGCTGGAAATCACCAAGTTATCTGGCTTTTCCGGCTTCCGCGTAGCCTGCGAAACAAGCTTTTTTGCGCGAGGTCCTCAAGAAGGTCGGGACACAAGTTTATCAGTCCCTGTTATAACTGTCACGTGTTCACTTAAATAAAGAGTCTTTACTTTACTTCACACTTCACGAGAGAAAAAAAAGGGAATTGAGGGAACGTTCGCGCATTAACTTGATCGGAAAGTCTTGCTACACAGACTAGCTTCCGCCTCGCGGCCTCACCGTTGGCCCCTCGCGCGGGTACGCTGCCTAAATTCTTATTTCGAAGAAAACTAAGAGGCCACTCGTAGTCTTTAGGCGATGTCCACACCATAACGGATAGCTCTTACGCTGGCAACCTCGTGTGATCAAATACCCTGTTCAGAACAAAGGGACCCAAAACCCATATCCGTATCTAGCTCAGGGAGAATGTTACTATGGTAATTTCTCGCTCTTCACAAAAAGTAACTAGAGGATGGGGTGTATGCGTAATTCTCTTCTAACTTGGTAGTGATATCAACTTTTAGTATCTGCATATTCGGATTAGAACTTAGGCAGTAAAAAAACTGTTGTAGACATTCTCATTTTGTAATTAACAAATTCTCTTTTGGCGTTAGCCCTTTCACGAGACCCGCCTAAGGCCAAATCGAAGCGGGTAATAACTACTCTGTCTCCTGAGAGAAAAGGCCGCCTTTTGGGTTCGGCGAGGCGCGAGAATAACGGGGAAAATAATTACCACTTCAGTTCACTTCTTTTTCCCACTTTTATCGGGGGCTTTCTTGCCTTTTCACTCTATCCATCACTAACGCGGATCAATTAAGGTTTCTGGCAAACTGCCCACCTACCCTTCCCCTAAGCCATCATTTTGCCTTAAGCGAGAACTAAGTGTTAATGTTAGCTTAGGGGAGGGGTAGGTGGGCAGTTTCACAGAAACCTAACCTATACCGTTCACAGTCGCTTAGTTATTTAAGAGGAGGGCTTATACGGGAGGGGCTTATATCTGACGGGCTCAATTCCTATTGGAGGGAGGGCTTATGTCCGGGGGGGCTTGTAATCGGATGGATCTTTTGTTTACCGGTTGTTGAGTTTATACCGGCCGAGGGGGCATGTGAGTGGGAGGGGGTCTTACAAGCAACTGTGTACGGTATTTGCGAGCAAAGGAATTCTTGTTTCAGACCACTTTCCAAGCCTCCATTGATGTGCCTTCAGTTATTTCTTGGGCCGATTGAATTTCCCGGACCTTATGTACTAATTTTTCGTGAAACATTTCGCATTCCCCGTAAATAAGCCTTGTAAGAAAAACTTAGAAAATCGAAAGCTGTCCCAAAACAAGTCTTCACAATCGCACATAGATAACTGGTCCATTGCCGGCTGACTTCCAAGACAAGTGGATACCTGCTGGTCGTCCTGATCCCATACGGAAAAGCCCGCAATAAATCATCCTATAAGATATAACAATCCTGTGTTAGTTAGGTTACTGCAAAACAGGCAACAAAAAACGTTAATTAAGTACAGTTAATGTCCGTAATGTCGTTGAGACCGAAACAGTTGTCCATGTCTGCCACTGCCCAGGTGACATGGCAATGCGCATGTGTAAGGTACAAGCCATAACTAACTAGTCCACGGCGTTCGTAGTATGCTTCCTTGTTTTTTTGGAGTGTCCTCGTCGATCTAGCATTTGGCAAACGCCGGGTTCATTAAGTTACGAACGGAGCACAGAAACGCCTGAATCTGCGTTTTATTCTTGCCCCCTGTCTTTCTAAGAAAAGGGTTAATTTCTTTAATTTCTTTGTCAGCTGTAGTCAAGAGCCATTTTTAACCTTCAGCTTTGTGACTCTAAATATAATCTCTATTATCAATTTTAGCGTTATACATACGCTATTTCGAGCTATTGAAATTAATGTTAGCGACAGTGTTTTTATACGGATGGATAATTTTTTTGATTATACATATGTTTATCAGTATTGTGATATGTTATAAAAATATGCTGTTTTTTCGCAAAACAAAATCACCACGATCGAAACCATGACGTCAGGAAAGTAAAATTTTGGAAACTTGTGACCCGTAATTGCTATTTTACACATATGCATCAAAATTCAAGTAACTGATCATTATTTTAACACTTTTTCAATTCAAAAGCCAAATAATAATAATAATAACGCTTAATCCCGTATCGGACTTTTCTTTTACACTTAAGGATAAGATATCTGTAACCGCTTTTGTTCCAGAAATTCAATCACTATTCGAAAACGAGGAAAGTGAAATGCATGCTTATCTTGTTACAAGTACAGGAGCGTTGAAGAACAAAATTTTTTTTAGCAAACAAGTACCTCTAATTTTGTCCAAGAGGATCGTTTAGAATGGCAAAGTGCCGCAAAGCAAACAAATTGTTATCGGCGGTTTTGTTAGTTTTATGCACAATATGCGCCTTTCTTTCCGTACAGATCGAGAAATGCTAAGGTAATTTATTTCGGACCGCTTTGTACAGTCGGTTCTCGGCTTCCTCGAAATCATCTTTTTTGCTCAACGAAAGTTTAAAAACTTCTTTCATTGTTTAACCACCTTGTTTTATAAGCTTTGGATGCTAAGAAACTCCAGTCGACGGATTTTATGAGTAACGATGTACTGCAGGCCCTCATCTCTAAGGCAACTCAACAAATGAGATACGTGTTACCGTACTATTGATGCAAGAAGTTCAAGGAGTAACAAAATGACTATGCTGACCTCTCTCATATCATGAAAAGAGTTTTCCTTGATATCTCACTGAACTTCAATTGTTGTCTGCCACAAGGATTTAGCAAATCTACCGCGAATTTCCGGCATTCAAAAGCAGCTATAATGACGGTGCGAAAGCTGTGCTAGACGTAAATATCCGTGTTATTAAAGGATTATGATTTCATAATTAACACAAAATTGAATTGCCAAAATATATTATTCATCTCACCCATCCGCCTTTGCCTTTGATCCAATCTACCAAATATAAGGCAGCAAATTCATACATCCAACTTCCAATGTCAAGCACATATCGATTGCGTCCGTCTCTGCAACATTCGGAGACGAGAGCCCCGGCAAACGTGTACAGGGCAATAATTCTTGCCCAGTTTAACCCATCGCTCAATATTTCCGATGAAACGTCATTGAAGACTTCATGGACGGCGTTCTCGCTTGTGAACCGAACGTTTACATGACTAGAAATGTCTTTGTAAAGCCGTGGGTAGCTTAATTCAAGTAGCTCACCGACTTCTTGGATGCGCGTCGAGACGAGGCTGGTGGTCTCACCGGGTTTCTCTGTAGAATTAACGAACGCGAAAGATAAACCCCGGTTCTTGATGCCATCTCGTTCAAGCTTAGCTTCGATGTAATCGTTACATATTTGCCTAGCTTGTTCAAGAATATCTGCGCAGACTTTGTTTCCTTGTAATTGGACGATTCGTCGAGTTAAGTGAATTCTTGGACCTGACATATCTTGCCAACTTAACCTTTTGACAATTTTTGGGCGCTGTAAAGTGGCCATTGCAATCGCTGTCCAGTTTCAACGGACCTCAAATAGCGTGAAGTATTAATCCAACAGCCTTGAGTTCACAGGATCAAAGGGGAAAGGAATTAAATGCAAATTCTTTTACGTCTATTTACGTTCATGTTAATATACGTGCTTACGACATGCTTCAGCGTTCCTTTAATGATTACTTAAGGCACTTAAATAAAGACAACAGTAATTCATTATCGGATTGGTTGGTTGTTTTAAAAACACACCTTCCTGACCCGGCCCACCCGACACCAGATGAGGGCACATTTCGGTGGGGTCAAGGGGATCCCCGCCTAGCGGGGGTAAAAAGGAGAGGGGACGGGGGAAATTAACCAAATAACCCTCTCTTTTTTAAGCCTGCGTGGCTGGCGTCAATTGGAAAAACCCTAATGCTTTCCCTTTCGCGTTTTTCGTTCCTTCCCCTGTAAACGTTCGTGGGGGACAGCGCGCGACGTGCGTGACGAAGCACTAAGAGCGTCGCGTCGTCTGCGTTGGAGGTTTCTGCCGCCCCGATGAAAAGAAAGTAGGTAGGGAAAAACGCGCAATAAAGATTTTGAGTCAATAGTTTATTTGATAGCATCAGTTGGCAGGACCAGTGTTCGGCCTTTACTCTTGCAGGAATTCGCTGGACTTGACTAGACCCCGAGGGGGGGTGCTCCCTATAATGGCCTTTACGGGGAGGCTCAGCCCGAAAGGGGTACATTTTTCAGGCTTCAGGTGTATGAAAGGGTAGGAAAATCTGTCATTTCAGTCTGTAAAAAAATCCCAAAGAGCTAACAGATGCATTTTATGGTTGTGAAATAGCAGAAGAGACGTTCTGGTATTGTGGTTTACTCATATTTTAAAGTCAGCCCATTTACAGCAGTTTAAAAAATACGTGAGTTTAAACTAGGTATTTGAAAGGGGTACCATTTGTAAATGGAAGGTATACGAAATTAAAGGGGTACCTTAGTTTTCTGCCAAAATGGTGTATAAAAAGGTGAGGGGTTGACCCTCGTGGTGAAGCCTCCCTGTTCAAAACTTTGTTGCGTACCCCCCGCCGGAGATTAAGATTGGCGTAGAGCTCAGTAGAAAACTTAACACAAGCACTAACATCGAATCAGCCGCGAGAGGTGCGAGACTCAATTAAGAGCGCAATCTTCGCGCAGAGGCGCGCCATAACATATCAACGAAGGTCGTGAGAACCAGGCTTTAAAGGGAGGGTAAGATAATAAACCATATCCGATTTCCAACAACTTTCACTTTCAAAACGAAGACAACTATTAATAAGAAACCTTTTGTTATGAAAATAAGTTTTAATGCATGAGAGCAAAAAACAGGAGACTTTGGCAACTCGGATGTTGCCTATAACTTCCCTCAACCTTGGATTTTTTCCAAAGAACAGCATTGGAAACGAATTGTGCTACCTTCAAGACTGCGTATCATAACATGTGTTTTTAACTGAGTGAAAAACTGCGAAAAAAGCTCTGCTCACTCTTTGGTTCTCGATTTGGCTCAAACCGGAATACTTTCCCGGCAAGAAGCGTTTTACGCCTATAACTTAAAGCGAGCTCCTTCATTTAGAATGAGTATGGTGAAAACTAAACGGGAGGGAGAGGGATCGAAGAAGGACTTTCACGACAGGTTTTGCCGGTTTACAAGTTTATTAACATGGTTCTTTGGAATTATTGTATTTGCTATAACAAGGACTTGAAATTACCCTACTAGCAGATTGTTTCTTTCTTGCAAGGTTTTAAACTTGTACGAAGTTGTTTGTGCCACCGGTATTTCGCGTAGTAGGCGCCAGCAACTAATGCTGAAACCGTTGCCAGAAACGAACGCTCTGCTAGCAGGGTAACTTGAAAGGAAATATTGTTAGAAAACTATGTTTTCCTGCAAGATATACTTACAGGTTTCTAGGACAACTGCTGCAAAAATATTGTCTTTACATCTAGCAACGATATTATCTTTGATAATGTGATAGAAAATTATTACACTACATTAAAACAGATTCTAGTAAAATATGTTACGCTCAAAGTACCCTACTCTCGAAGCATTCAGATAAGAGGGATTGCTCGGAAAAACGGAGAAGACGAAATGGTGCTAAAAGGCTGCACTCTCCATTTCATGCCGCTCAACATTATCTGACGACCCAGTTTCCACTTGATCGTACACCACGGAGTTGTAAGCGGAATCAAAACGCTGTTTTCACTAGATCGCAAAGTTCTACGCTTCTGATTACGACTCCGACTCCGTCACTAGTGAAAACCAGTCTTTACTGAAATTTAAACAGGGAGAAAAACGTGATTGAGAAGAACATTTGTTAGTCTACAGTCAAACGGTGACTTAACTTCTTGTTCTACAAGATTTGCATTAAATGATTTTGTTTTTGGCTACAAATAGCCGCCGTTGTCTCACTCGGATAATCAAGAGAAGGAATACTGCACGAGTCCGGCGTGTTTATCACGGCCTGACTTTCGCGCAGAGAAACGGTGCCTCCTTCGATCCAATCACACCCAAAAGAAAATAAAAGGTATCTGAAACGACTGACTTTTAAGCTACGGTTAAACAGGCAACAAAAACGAGCAACTTGTTTTGCATCATTGCTACAAAACGAGCTGAAAGCAGTGTTCAGCGTTTTACCACCAACGTTCAAACCTGTCTTGCAACAAGTCGGTTGAATACTGACTTCTGATTGGATAAAATTATGCGGGAATCACGAGAGTTACGTCACTTGCTGCAGAACAAGTTTGCCTTTTTTTCCTTTTCCACAACTTGCAACAACCTGATTCAGTTGCAGTGGGTGGCAAAACGTACAACATAGGTTTTCAACTAGTTTTGCAGCAATGTTGCAAAACAAGTTGCACGTTTGCTGGTGTCCCGTTTTAGAGTACCTCTACACTGGTTCAAGTGAGCTTGAACACTGATGCGTTTTTAGCTACGCTAAATTGCAAGTATAACGAGCTCTAACGTAAATTTAAACCGCTTTTACAGCTAAACAGCTTTCACAAGTGGGGCATTACATTAACTTACTTTCATTTGGAGAATTCAACACTTTGAAAGTCTCAAATTTGCTCTTTAAGCAAGAAACGTTTCCTTCAAATAGTAAACGATCCATGCTGTTTTTGGTTAAATATACTAGAAAAGATTCAAAACTTGTATTTCAAAAGGAAGTACCCTCAATGTCACGGTACAATATTATGCTCCTATAATAAATACACCAGGGACTCGTTTCTCGAAAGTCCTGATAATTAATGGGCCCGGTAAGCTGTCTCCGTTTACATTAAAGATTGAGCTTTTAATAGTTTTGCATCTAACATGATAAAACTATCAGTTAATGAAACAAAATGGAGTAGTTTGCTAGCCAGGACCCGCGCTCTTATTCTTTATATTTCGATCTGAATATTTGATTTCGGGTCCGAAAAGTTACCGGGACTTTTGAGAAACGGGCCCCAGGGGCCCGTTTCTCGAAGCTCCCGGTAATTACCGGGCCCGTTAAGCTGTTTTGTTTTCCATTTTAGAAGGAAGTGTTAAAAGTTTTGAAAATTATACAGTAGAGTTATTAGCTAACGAAACAAAACGGACTTCATTAGAGGTCAGAACACACCCTACTTTTCTTGAGACTTTGGTTTAAAAATATGATTCCGGGCCCGTTAAGTTACCGGGACTTTCGAGAAACGGGCCCCAGGACCTTAAAGGTCGTATAATTAACAAATATAGTCCACAAATCCAAGTTGCTATGAAATTTACACATTTTTGCCATCCATTTACGAAGCAAAGAATTGTTATTACAAAAATTGAAAAAAATTCTAGGAAAGTTAGGGAAAATTACGTAAATTGGGAAATTTGCCAAACATTACGAAAATCGCTAGTTGAAAATAGAGAGATGTAGAGTCACGTTTACCGCAAACGTCAGATTCAAGTTGACAAATTCTCAAAATACAAAATGAGCGGATGCAAACAGCTCAAAACAATTCTTTTGGATAAAACTGGCTTGAATCTGCTGATTTCCGTGAAGTTACAACGAACTGTGAACGAAAAGAAAAGAGAAAACTTGGCCACGAGGTACAAATTCACGTTTGCCGCTTGCCGTAAACGTCACTCCAAATCTCTCCTATATCACGTGTCAAAACTTTGAAATAATGGGCCAGAATAGACCTTTTTAGCATTTATGTCTTATTTTCTAACTTTCACCACTTGACGTTCTCAAGGGACTGTGCCATTTGGGCATAAATTATGCATACATATATGTACGTGGATAGGACGGTAAACAGTTCTCCGAGGGTCATATCATGTAGGTGTGAGAAGCGAAAACAAAGCACACAAGCTAAAAACGTCTTTTGTACCTTTTTGAGAGTTTTTGCAAAGTCACGGCGGAAAATTTCAAAATTTGTAAAATTCCTTAGGGCGTGTAATTATGGACTGACGCAATAACCTATATCATGTTATAATAAATTTTTAACACTTGCCTAATATTGCTGAGAACAGGAAACCCTAACTAACCAATATAAATCAAGCGACGTAAGCTGTAAAAATTAAGGCATTAAAGTTAGCAAAAAAGGAAAAGAAAAGGACGAAAAACACCACCACTAGATTGAACGCAATGTGAAACAATACGTATCGAGAATAATAACTCACGGGCAAAGTGTATATATCTGTATTGACGTTGTATGTTCGCATGTTTGGGTGAATGGGTATCCTACCCTATACAAACTAATAATACCACGAAATACCATTTGAAGCAATACAATTCTCAGTAAAAAAGGGCATTTCTCATGGTCAACTGAGAATTATCCATCTTACACAAAGAGGAATGGTTAGAAAACACTTCATTCATGGTGGTGGCCTGATATTTGCCTTAGCAAAGGCTGCAAAAGCAGCTGCAGTTGTAAGCAGTTTGGGTTAATGTTCTTTTCAGCCACGTAGTGACTATAAAATGGTTTGACTAGCTTCAAAAGGCATTTTATTGGCAAAATTTCTTTAAGGTGACCAGGTTAAAACAACACATTTTTGAAATCAAAATGGTTTGATATTGTGACCTCATCGCATACACTGCCCCTCCTTTCGTGTGTTCAATCCTGAGTTAAAACCCCGGTTAAGTGGTGTTTTTTTTTCTTTCCTTCCCCTCTATTTATTGGGCCATTTCCTTGAGCTTTACAAGGTTCTGTGAGGCACGCATTTCTGGTAATATTTGGGAAAGGTGGTTGCACATTAGGTTCAAAGTTATTTGTCTTATTACAACCTCACTGGTTACCACATACGGTGCATTCGACTGACCATATTCCGGAATAAGGATACATGGAATGAACTCTACAAAAAAACCTTGTTTTGGCTAGTGGAAATTATTAATAATTTAGAGGATGGTAGCAATTCTAATGATCCAATATTTGTGATCAAAGAGATTTTTCGCAGATTCTGTGTACTGTTATTCCTGAATATGATCAATCAAACTCACCTTTAGTGTGCTGTTGGCCGGATACGCACATTCCTCTAATCTCAACTTATTATTATGCAGCTTCTGCAAATCCTTTACTGCTTGCATCCTATGAGAATTGTACAGCATTTTTGTATTCAATTTCATACACGTGGTTGCAATTCCAAAGTTCCCTGTTGACTCGGACGCTGAGGGGGATATCTTCTCCTGCGTCCAGGGAGTGTCTTGGCAGGTTTCTTGACTTCCTTGTGAGGGTTGCTGCTTGGTGTGTAGCGAGCACACAGGATAACCAGGAGGGCAATAATTACGGCAAAGGCGATGGTACCAAGCATGATGGCCCACCAATACTTCTTTACTGTTTCTTTTAGACCTGTTGAAAGTTACATATTTAATTTATTATTGTAGATTTCCGCTCAGAGTTCTGATTAAGTTTCTAAGCAGACAGCTAGGATGTAAAAGTAGGTGGTTTGGTAACAATGTACTGTACCTATTTCCCCAAAACGTAGATGGCTCAAATCTCCACGTAGCCAGTTTTTTTAGCCAGCTACCAGCACTTAATATAATAAGAACCCTGCTGCTTATAAGCCCTGGGCTCATATATCTTCATAAGGGGTTTTAGTAGAGCTTTAAATGGGGGGCTTATTTATAACTGGAATTATAAAGAAACACGCTTTGAAACATTATGCCATAGCAGTGCTGATGAAAGTAGGTTCTGGGCAAGATTAGCCTGAAATTCATCTGATTGCTTTGAGTCGTTTTCTCCTCTGAGGGAGTAATAATGAAGTAATCGGATGTAATTCAGGCTAGGGCAAGAGGGGGGATTATAAAATAACTAAGACAGTAGGCGCATTCTGATTGGTTAAAAACCTATGGTTTATTGTGCTGGTAAACTTATAGAAAACTTGAAGTTATTTTATAAAAACAATAGACCACACTTTCTATGGGTTTACCAGCATGATAACCCACTTGGGATGTTGGGAGAATACTCGAACAGCTTGTAAATCACTTGCCTTGGGCTCGTGATTTACAAGTCATTCACAAGCTTTTCTCTTGTTCTCCTAACATTCCGCGTGGGTTATCATGCCGGTAAACCCATAGAAAGTGTGGTCTATTGTTCAAATATATCCTAGGGCTTTTAGGGAAGAGGTTATAATCAGATGTACTTTTTGGTTTAACCACATACAAATTCTCCTAGCCAGGGACCAGGCTCCTCATTGGGGGAGAAAGGAGAAACAAATCTGCATGGGCGAAAACGAAGTGAATCGGAAGGTAGTCTGGGGAGGTGTTTGCCTTTTTCCCCCACTGTGGAGCCTGGTCCCAGGCTAACATTCTCCAGACTGTTCTCCATACATTTCCTTAAGAATTAGTTGAGAGGATTAGATTAATGATCAAATCATATTTACTTGGTGATCATTTTATTATTTCACATGACCATTTCTGCTGATTATGTATTGGTATTGTTATGAGAAAATTGATGCTGGTCACTCTTGGGACTCAAAGGGAGGTAGATGAGCCTTTCCCGGGGGGGCTTATTAGTAGGGAGCTTATAAGCCGCAGGTTATGGCATTTATATATATTTAATACTTTTTTCAGAGCACTGAGAGGTAAAAATCTCATGAACTGCCACTGTGAAGCTAAGCTGTTTCCTTATGCATGAGGTGGCCTTAAAGCCTTACAAGTTTCAGGATCTTAGCATGGCTAAACCCTGGTACAAGAAGGTAAATTGAAGAACCAAACAAAATAGGTGACATTCCTCTTAAAATTGAAAAACAAATGAGTAAAAGGACCAAACACAAAATCATATGTCAGGGTGTTAAGTAGGCATCGGAGATCGGAGAATTCTCTGTTTACTACACAGAATTCTCCGGCTGATGTGCGATAGCCTATGAATATTTTTCATTCAAGCATTCACAATATTATATTTTCTCCTGTAACGTTACACCTTTCTCCTGCTACTAGAATTCTTAATGAAAACCCTGCATATTTTACCAACCTTCAACAGTAAAAAACTGTTGTTTCAGTCGCGCTAAAGGGCCAGCCATGTCAACCCGGCGACAAACAGCAAACACATCACAATATCCTTTCAGATCATCACATGGTGATCCTGGTACAAGTTTCAGGTTCTTGAGTTGACTTGGTAACTAAGAATGAACAGAGTAATCAACATTCTGCAAAAAGTGAGTATGTTCCACATAGAATTTCCCAGCAACATGGAAATGTTGCCACTCAGACTGGATCTCACTCCAGTAAGTAGTGACCCAAAGTACGGAAATTTCACAGTCACTTTCAGGACTTGAAGACAGCAGGATGAGGTTAAACACAAATGTTTATGTCAGCATACAAAGAAAGTCAAGTCTGATAGCCTGGGACTTAGTGGATGTTGGGCTAGTGAATTCTGTTCTTAACTTGCACGACAAGCAAATGAATTTTTCTACGAAACTCATATTACAGAAAAACTGTAATCAATCCTGCTTATCAAAAGTTATTTTTCAGGCTAATTAAAATGACCCTTGGGCTAGTATATGCTAGCTGCAGCTTGCCTGAATGGCAAACTGTAAAGGTGACTTTCTTTGCATCCTGGCCAGTGTTCTCCCTAAATTTTAGCAGGTAGGTGACCATTCATGGCCAGTGCGGTGCCAGTAAGGCAAAAAATAAGTGCCAGAGGTGCACTTTGTATTGTGTAATGTCATTTAATGTTTCTTGCGTAATTTATTATTGTCATGAAGTATACACAGCAAACTTTGCACTTAAACAACACAATAAACAAAAATCCACACTGATTGGAGATCAGACCATGCAACATGATCAGATCACGTATGGAAGGCTTTGGTGCTTTGAATAATATTGATTACAGTCAACTTTCTCTAAGATGGACACTTCTGGGATTGGCACGGACTGTCCATCTTAAAGAAATATCCATCTTAAAGAGGGTAAAATAAAGGGAGTAAAAAAAGGAGGAGCCAACAGCCACGTGTCTGTGTAAGGTGGCTCGATACAGTTTTTCAGGGTCAATAGCTCTCAAGTTTGAGCATAAACTACGTCGCCATAAACAAAGTTTTGGAAAAATTGCCACCACAGTTGTATTAGGTAAAGATGAAAATTTGTTTTTATCAGGGTTGCAACGACATCGGAGTTGTAATAGCAACGAAATGACGCTATTACCTCTTTTACTAGCAGCAGTATATCTCGGCACTGGGAACTGTTCTTCGAAAATCGTTCACGAGAGCTTTTTCCTCCAATAGCAGCCTCGATGTTCGTGAAGTTTAAGCGAAATCTGTAAGAGCGTTATCGAAATATTTTGGGATAAAGATTTTGTGGTTAGAAATACGGTAAAAAATGGACAATCTTGGTGTTCGGCTGTTATCTGTGGAAAACGAAGCGCTTTTGACATGCAATTTCACCTCGTAGTAGTTTCAATCTTTTTAAAAACGTGTGTGAAAGCTCAAGGAGATAGCTCCAGCCGATTGCTAGAAAGAAGGGTTTGATTAGTATGTATCGAGGCGCTCTTGTTAGCGGTTTTTTGAACATTTTGGTCTGCTTTAACAAATTAGCGAATAATTTTTAAACCACTCGATAGATTTTTAAAAAAATTTAAGATTCTTGAGATTAACCTTCCTTTTATATAAACGTTTTAGTTTCAAGATTATTGATATATTGTAAGGTAGTAAAATACGGGCTGCAATTCGCTAATATTTTGGCAGAAAGTTTGTGTTTACAAGTGTGAGCCTCTCATTATTTAGGGTATTGTGTCCAAGTTTCATATTTTCGTGCACAACAATAGCTAGCATTTTTGCATATTTCAAATGCATTGTTAGTTACTGCTGTTCACGTGAAAATGAAACTTGGAGACAATGCCTTGAATACTTAGAGGCTTTCACTTGTGATGACGAAACTTCTGATAAAAAAGTAACGAATTGTAGCCCTTATTTTACTGCCTTACGATATATCAATAATCTTGAAACTAAAACAGTTATACAAAAGGAAGGTTAATCTCAAGAATCTTAAATTTTTAAAACAATCTATCGCGCGGTTTAAAAATTATTCGCTAATTTGTTAAAGTAGACCAAAATGTTTACAAAACCGCTAACAAGAGTGTTTCGATACATACTAATCAAACCCTTCTTTCTAGCAATCGGCTGGAGCTATCTCCTTGATCTTTCACACACGCTTTTAAAACGATTGAAACTACTATGAGGTGAAATTTCATGTCAAAAGCGCTTTGTTTTCTACAGATAACAGCCGAACACAAGGATTGTTCATTTTTTACCGTATTTCTAACCACAAAATCTTTATCCCAAAATATTTCGATAACGCTCTTACAGATTTCGCTTAAACTTCACGAACATCGAGGTTGCTATTGGAGGGAAAAGCTCCCGTGAATGATTTTCGAAGAACAGTTCCCAGTGCCGAGATATACTGCTGCAAGTAAAATAGGTAATAGCGTCATTTCGTGGCTATGACAACTCCGATGCCGTTGCAACCCTGATCAGAACAAATTTTCATCTTTACCTAATACAACTGTGGTGGCAATTTTTCCAAAACGTTGTTTTTGGCGACGTAGTTTATGCTGAAACTTGGCAGGTATTGACCCTGAAAAACTGTATCGAGCCACCTTAACTGAGATGTCTGTTTCGACGGGAGTCAAGTATATTCACTATAATGTACGCGCAGTACCATAGTAATAATGTTATGCAGTGCGTGTACCTATGTACTTATCAAAACAGTTACTGGCAACAAATGCAAAAGATTTGAACTTACTTGACCCATGACCCTAGACATTAAACATCTCATTATTACAAAAAGTTTGTTTTTTCCTTGCATGGGAAAGAAAGTTTTACATTCCCCTAATTTCAACCCGCTTAACATGGATAGCCTGTTAATATGGACACTTTCTGTGGCCCCCTCAGTGTCCATATTAAAGGGTTTGACAGTACTTTATTGTATCATTACAGTGTACCTGAGCTAAGCGAGATGCTGGAGTGCATGCACCATTCTGTTTGCAGCACAAATCACAAAGTTCCTCTTCAACTGTACAAGAACACTCTTCCATGTCATATAATTCACAAACTGAAGTTGAACACTGTCCGGAATAGCAAACACGACGGCCCTGGTCACAAAGTGTTGTATTAACCAGTGGATCTGGGGAGTCACAGGTAACTGACAATCCACTGCATGTTTGGTTCTTGGTACAGTCTGTTGCTTTGGAACAGATGACAGATGGACCTGCATATTTGCAATCACTTGTACAACAAGGTCCTGAAGTTTAACAGAAAATTAATACTTCACTTTGAAACCCATATTGTTACTTTAACAGCATACATGCTGCACTGAGCTTAAAAGCAAATTGTACAAATACTTCAGCGGTTTTGTTCACTTTTAGAATATCATATTCATGAAAGCACAGACACCTCATCAACTTAGCAATGCCAGAAAAAAAAGGCAGATAACTCGTAAATTTAAAAGAAAGACTTGTTATGTAACAATATTTTAATGTAATTCCCCCAATATGTACAAAGTAGGCTAACACCAAGGAACGAAAAATTTGTAAGTCTTGAATTTGCTTGTTGCTTCAACTTAGATTGATATTTTAAATACACATATAGTTTTAGTTGACTGCATATGAACACAACAACAGACACCGATCCAATTCTCTCTAGTCAAGTACATGGACCCCTGCTGTTTATCTTTCAATGAAGTAGCCCTTCATTCATGAATAGGAGCTAATCAAGTACATTTTACCTAATTTGCCTTATCATCTATAACCCCATTTTTTTAAAAAAGGAATGAGTCCAAGTGACTTCAAAGGGTAATTAAGTTAAATTATTTTCTAAACCCTCAGGCCCTGATCACTATTGGTTAAGTCTTGGTGCTTATCAACAGCAGCAAGAAACAGCCAGAAATGGATATAAATAAGAAAAAAAGTCAATGGATATTGCACTTGATATGTGTAAAGTTTGTCAGTCAATAGCCAAGACTTTTGGCCAGGCAATGCTGGTCTGCAGAGAAAGCTGATAAGTGAGTTTTTGACCTTCAGGTACAAGACCGATGCTAGGAGCATGAGGGCAAAGTGGGACAGGTGCCCGTTTGCTTTAAAAAAGTGGGGACATCAGACTATTGGGAGGGGACATTTTGTAAAATTCATGGACAACTTGGAATCAACTTTAACACCACTTTTATTGCAGGCTTTCTAAAAGACAGTTTTAGTTTTCAGAACGACAGTTGCAGCCTTCTCCCTTTTTGACAACAGCCTGTCCGCCAAGCTGTGTGCCAGGTTTTTGCTTTGTACTTTGTCGCTGATTGCCTTTTTGTGATCTCTGCTATAGCATGCCTATTTAATGTCGATGCTCTGAAATTGCTGGCTTAATTCTCACTCATGGAATTTTTTTTGTTGTGTTTTAAGCAAGTTCTGCAGAACATTTTTCCTCCCTGTTCATAAAGCCAGACATGTTTTGTTTGCCAATCAGCGACTGTTTCGGCTCGAGGTTTGACTCTTGCCTTCTTTGATCTCGGTTTGCCCAATTCGCTTTGTTCTTGCCGTTAATTTCTTTCTTTAACTCTTTATCGCTGTCTGTGTCTTCCAAAATATTTGATGGCTCAATCAGCTTGTCCATCATCAACATCATTCGAAGAAGCTGTTGAATTATTAATCATGAAGCGTAATCTGTTTTGTTTCAATTTGGTCACCATGTTGAAAGCATGACAATTATTAACTGATATCACAAGGTAATAAGTCAAGATCATCCCAGGCTCCTTGTGATGAAATTTTGTTTTCATTTTTGCTATTTTACAAAATCATTGCTTCACAAAAAAACACCACAAAAACAATTTATTTGTGTCAGTAGGTTATAAAAACGAGCAAATGGGGCGAAACTGTGCTCTAGAATAAACACTGTGACTGATACATACCTTGGCTTGGGCTACACTGATGTTGTACTGGAAGTGTGCATTGATTGGCTTCTCCAGCAGGAATACAACAGTTCTCGATCTCCTTACATGTAGCTTTATCTCCACAGTCACACTGCTCGCCCTTCTCCACTATTTTGTTTCCACATATTGACTGATCTTCACTTGTGAAGCAATCTGGTCGTTGTGAGCGTTTTCGGTCAATATTTTTTTTGATGCTGTCTTTACTACAACTTGAAAACCTGTCATTGTTTTCAAGGATTCCTGATGTTGCTTTGTCAAACATGATATAATTCCCCTTAGGATCTCCTGGAGCACACTGCTGCGTTGCAGGATCATGCTAAAAAATCAATATCATTAACAATTTGATGAGAGTCTATTAAAATCTCCAGTGTGCAAAAAAGGTTGTGTCCTAAAGCCTGCATGATATATATGGGGCCAGTGTATTTTGTTGTTAGCCTACTCAATAATCTGTTCTTAACTTGCCAGATGGGAAAGTGAATTTTTATTGGAGAATCCAAACTACAGAAGAACTGTAATCAATTCTGGTCGTCAAAAAAATTGGGGGGGGGGCTAGTAAACTGAAATGAGTTTCAGGTTAGTACGTGTTAGGTACAAAATCCTTGATTGTTTACACGTACAAGGAAGATACAGTAAATTGAAGAAAAGAAATCATTAATTGAGGGGGGCGTTGGGATTTTCGGTTTTGGCCATTTTCTAGGTCGGGTTTTCGGTTTTTGCAGTGAAAAACTTCGGTTTTTCGGTTTTGTTGTCCGTTGTGGTTTCCGGTTTTTCCCTTTTTTAGCATCTGGTTTTCGGTTTTTTGGCAAAAACAACGCGGTTTTTCGGATTTAGGTGACCGATGTGGATTTCGCTTTTTCCAATTTGGAAGGACGTCAAAGATGTCAACAAACCCGCACGGGCTCCCAATGTGGTTTTTGTGGTTGTGTCCCATTATCAACTGCCTTCAAGTTACAATTTTGCTCTTACAAGCATGTCTTTTCTGATATGATCGGAGGTCCCAAAAATTGTTTTCAGCAGAGGCTGATTTTCTATTTTAGACTCCAGTTTGCCATCAATTTCTTTGAAGATCTTGTACCGCTGGGTGATACCGGAAAGGCAATATTAATAGTCTCTCTTTAATTTTTGCTTTTGTTTAGGTCAAAGTTGACCTCGACAATAGCCTGTGTACACATGCTTTCTTTTTCTATTTTTTTTTTGAAGAGTCTGTTCTAAGCAATCTTATTCTTTCGTCTTTAATGCCACCCTGAAGGGTGGCACGAGGTACATTGTGTATCAGTTGAAAGGTTTCAGTCGGCTTGTAATTGGTTTTGATGTGCACGAAAACCACATTGAGAGTCCGCACACTAGGTCTGTCTAACTTCCTTCCCAAAAAAGTAACAAACTGTGTGGGTTAGATTCCTCTGTGGGTCTCTGTGCAGTCACATGTTTGGCTACTTTATATATTTCTATTTTACAGTCAATCTAAGTCAAACTGGAATGTGGGATTTTGGATTTTTATTGGGGGTGTACACCTGGAGAGCTTTTCGCGGACGCAAAACTTCCCCCAATGTCCTCTATTGCCATTCAATTGAGGATCTTTGTAAATTCTCCTAGAGGGTCCTAGGCCAGATATGCCGGTTTTAGGACCATAGCATCCATAGATAGTGTTGATACTTTGATGATATTAACATCTAGAATTATGATGTGCTATTGTATAGTCCGCATGTTCCACATATCACCAACGTTTGAGATCTAGACTAGGGTTTGGTGAAACTTGAGCTGTATAAATCTTCGGTTTTGCATGCCGTTTACGGTTTAATCGAAATCTATCGCGGTTTTTCGGTTTTGGGTAATTTTTAGAACGGTTTTTCGGTTTTTTATAGACCCCAGCGCCACCCTCTTAATTTGGCCAAATGACCTTAACTAACATCTGGTGCTTTGATTTAACTTCACTTGTGAGTCTTTTGATGTAACTTCACAGTTCAGTGTGCTCAGATCCACCTACAGCTGGCTTCCCTAGGGAATTTATAGCCGCACAGTGTTTTTACTTTGGCGGAGCGTGAAGTTAAGGATATAGGAAGTGGAACTGAGATCTCATTGTGCGCAAATATTTTTTATGACAAAAATTGTGATCGAAACGTGGAATTTGATGAAAAGTAATAGCATACAGGTTCTTCATAACAGAATTTGAAACAGGATATTGGCGGAGATGACCCCTCGTAGTATACTCATAAGGAGAAAAGTAAGGGTATTTTTACGGAAGGGTATCCGGAAAAAGATAATTTCTTACTATTCCTCCGCATTCATAATTAATTCCACAACCAAGACGCTGAAGTGCACGCTGACATAGCATCTTGTTTCATAAGGTTTGCAAAACTCTAGTTAACTTAATTGAAGCAAGTGCTCTGTTTTACAAAATGGGGATAACGTAACGTTTTTGACATTTTGTATGACCTCTGTTTTTGAGAAGAGTGAAAACGTAAATATTTGGTTTGTGTCTTGTGAAATGCAAATTTCATGATGAGACCCCCTCTTGTCCCCCTCTTCTGAATTACACCATTAACCCTTTAAGCCCCAACATCCACATACAAATTCTCCAAACTGATCTCTATACATTTTGTTAAAGAATAAGTTGAGAGAATTTGATGAAAGATCAAAGCATTTTCTCTTAGGTGATCAATTTATTAATTCTCATAACCAAAACTCTTGACAATCAATGGATATGGTTAGGAGAAAATTGATGTTGGACACCATTGGGACTTAAAGGGTTAATAGGGACTTGCTAAATAAATCCTTAATAAGGGACTGAGGAACTTTACACCCTTTTATGCAATAACATATAGCTGTGGTCGGCTTTAGTAGTCACTGAATTTTCTTTTAAGGCGACTAACCACAGATGTCCATGTAAGAGAAAGATTCTTAATCGGCAAATGGCTGCTTTAGCCAGTAAAAATGCTCAACATGGATGCAGACTTAGTTGGTATTTTAATACAACCGTCATCTGTTTAAATGTTTAATTTAGTAAAAATGTAAACAATTAGCAATTATTGTATATAAGGTCACTAATCCCTTTATTTAACAACACAATTTTTTAAATGTTTTGACCTCCCATGATTTCTTCTTTCTACTGAATAACTGACATTTTGCATTGAAATTCTTTTTGTGGGAAAAGACTAAAAAACCCTAAAGCTTACCTCGGAGCCAAATCCATGACCGAGTTCATGAGCGAACGTTATTTCTGATATTCTCGGCGGTGTAAATCGTCCGTAAAGCTTCATTGTCACAACCCCCGTGTTATAACTTCGTTTCTTTCCATTGTAATCATTATATTTATCGCAAATTCCTCCAGCCGCTTTGCCATCGCCATCGCCGATCCATGCAAGACCCAAAATGCCACCCTCAAAATCACGATCGGTGAACAGGAATGCTTCGCAAACCGACTCGTGATTCATGGTCGAGAAATAGTCCAACAAAGTGTCTATTCCCACGTTCTTGTCCTTAACTTGGACTGGAAGTTCATCGGGAAGTGTACCATCTTTATCGAATGCAACAACGGTTTTCACGCGGAACGTTATTCCGTATGGACTGTAATAATCGGTGGTGTTAAACTCGCTCATGTAGATGATCTGGGCCGCTTGCAATTGCTTCACAAGTTGAAAGATGGCTTTTGTTTTCCCACCGAACAATTCAGTGAAAAAACTATCGGCGTAAAGTCCAAGTGTGCAAACGTTTTTCCGGTAATCTTCAGTTTGCCTGCGAACGCGATTTTTGCCTTGAGTGGAAAGTGAGCGACGAGCTCGTTCTGGCACCTGAATTGAGGGAACTTTTTCCTTGATGTCAGAAAAGTCATGGTGATATTCCAGATCTCTGTCCTTGTAGATCACTGATGGAAAATCTTGCTTCTCATCAAAGTACCACGAAGATGGATCAACGTAATAACTCTCCGTTCCACTCAATATTTTCCCGTGGAATCCATCTTGTTTGTCAATAACACCGTAAACATCAGAGCCTGGAATTCCCTCAACATGTCCCCTCACGACAGCATCGCGATCGAAAGGAATCGATTTGCCATCTCCGGTAAGGAATTTGGCATCGCCTGTGAAGATGTCTCGGTCCGGTCGTAACTTGAGCCGATGAAACTTTCCGAAGGCGGAAAACGCGAATTTCCCATCGCTGTGGCTTTCAACTGCTCGCCGATGAACGTTGTGCAGGGAGCTCGGGTCATAGTAAAGAGGTTCGTAATGTGAGATAAATTTTCCTAGACGTCTGCCAGTAGCACACTCATATAGGTAAGGCACAGTAGCCAAAATCGAAAGAAAATAAAGTAATTGGTGAGCCATCGCTCGTTTGCTACAAGTCATGAGATAAACTCGTCCCGCCCATGAAAGGGACGCGTTGGTCACGCATTCGTAAGAGCGCCGATATAATCGGAAAAAATCGGAACCTCTCCGAACTAACACGAGCTCTCACGAAAACCTGACGATTATGCACAGAGGATTGGGCACTACAACAGAATTTGACATGGCGGCCACGCGGATAACAAAATTTCATCTTGCGTTCACTGTAAATTCTCGCGTATTTGGTGAGTGACAATAATATTTGCCTATTTTTGCTATCGGTTGAAAATCTAACATTCTGATAGTTTGTAAATGGCAGCTCCATAAGACGACATTTTCAAGATGGACAGCAGCTCTGAAAAACCATGTTTGCGCTTCCTTTTTTCATACCAACTCGCGGTCCTTCAGCAGAGTGGCCGGATTAGAGGAGATTTCTAACGAAGGTAACAAGGTCATTTTATACCTGGCCACCTCATTTACGTTTGTCGGAACATTTTCAAGAACTAGGTATAACACAATAGGCACTTTTGTTATTCAATGATATGCAAAGAAGTGACCGGGCATTCTGAAATTTAGCCAAGTAAAAAAATATATATATAATTCTTTGGGGATCAAGCTTCATTTTTCGCGAAATTCTTCAGCTAGTAAACATATAAAGTCAACTCCCATTATAGCAGACGACCTTGGGACTGCGGTTTTATGTCCGTAATAGCGAGAGTCCCTAATAGCAGGGTGAGAGAAAATAAAAAGTTCTGTTATCAAACAATAATATTATAAATAACATTTGCTATGTTCATAAGGTTTAAATGTGCTCCTTATGTGAATAACGTAACAACACAATTAATCAATGAAGTTCTTTGATTTTTGCGTTAAACAACAAAATGTAAAGGAATGAACTGAATATGTAACAGTAAACAATTTCTCATCAGAAACGTGTCTGACACCACATTTAGACATGTGTTGTGCTTTTGAAAATGGCACAACCACAGAGGACTGGCAATAATAGTGCTGCGTGCAGTTACTATTTATAGACCTGAAACTCTGACAAACTAACTGAAATTAACATTAGCGAATTCCTCACTTTTGTCTGACTTTTGTCATTTAAATGTCATGTTGGTCTGTCCTCTGTCATTGGAATTAGAAAAATGACAAAACTCAGACAAAAATTGCAAATTAGTCACTCTGATGTCATCCACGTCCTACGCTATTGGCGGGAAAAGGATTAACAGAGGTGGCGGCCTGGGCCTTGAGATTCCAGTTATTTATTAGTTATTTGGCAACCCAAAATATCTTGCGAGACTTCTCAACAGTGCCGAAACTGTTAAGCGGTTGTTGAGAATAGAACACGTGGGCGTGAGCTCTCCTAAAGAGGTGGGGGAAAAAAGCACAAGCTCAAGTGAAGAAGTCATTTCCAGTCAAACCTCTGTAGCTTTTGCTGGGGATCTGAATTTTGTGCGTAATAGCGAGCGTCCACAAGGCGGGAGTTGACTGTCAATTATTCTTAATGGGTAGACTTACATTCTTCAGGGGTAACCCATATTCTTCAGGGGGAAGACCCATATTTTATGAAAGTCTTCAGGGGTGAAAGCGATTTTATGAAATCTTCAGGGGTAAAAGGGAAAGGTTAATCCTTAACTTGGGTGTACTGATATTAAATGGAATAGACTCATGGGTAGAAACAGTCAAATCTCCTCGTTCCTCGCTGCTAGGGACGTGTGCCTTGACAACAGAAATGTTAAAATGATGATGTAAATGAATGGGTGTGTTCAAGTTTATGTTTCTCCTGGTCCAGGGCTCGAAATTCTTTAGGTTGCCTTTTTGTGACCAGTTGGAGGAATCTAGTCACCGTGCAGATGTAAATTTTCAGTTACCATTTTCTTCAATGAAAAGAATATTTGGGGTTGGTTGAAAATGTTTAAAATTGTTTAATACATAAATTGGCCTAGTTGAAACAAATGAATGTCATTGAAATTTAGTGTATGAAGTTCCTTTAAAATGGGGTTTGGATGAGATCAATAGTTTATGCCTGTTAATTTTATTGATTTTATATTTTTATTCATTCTTATGTAGAAAAACTGAAGAACCTAAGTCAGAGAGGTCTCAGATTTTCAGGAGACAAGTCCAAGACGATTGGACAGCCAACCCCAGATTCACATCCACACTTAATGGAAGAGGATGAAAGTAAGTATTACCGGCAAACTGTGCAAAGAATAAATTGTTGCAATGTAAAAGTTGCCAAAAACAAATATTCAATCTCAACAATCTCTGTCAGTGAGTGCATGCAACAGCATTTTGAATGGAATGAGAATTTGTTCACATGTAATATAACTAGGCACACTTGAGCAATGAAAAAATAACCTCTAAATGTAAATATGCAGCTAAGGAGCTCAGAGCTGCATTTTTGTACTATATAAAGCAGAAACTCATAAGGGGTTGAAACGTGTAACTCTCATATGTTTGCTTTGTCCGATGCTCGTGATTATTCATTTTCAAAAGTACCATATTTGGAACGAGAAGAAGAGATAACTGTCCAATCAAACTTCATAAACAACGTGATGTAATTCCAGCGCCCGCTTGAAAAAAATGGCCGACAAACGGGGGGGAAAACTCCTGAAAGCCGAGAAAGCTTTCAAAGGTTGAAACCAGGAATCTAACTCATTTAGACACTGAGCAGGATATTATTGCCTTACCACCCGGGCTAAACATAACATTATGAAACCCATTGACGTCCTTGCAACTTCTTGAAGTTGTCTCTTCAAAAAACGATGCCTCATTGACCCTCTGCACAGTAAACTTATACTGCAAATAGGCTTTTAAAATTCTTATATTAAAAGTCTAGAATAAACAGTAAAAAATATTTCCAAATAAAATTGATTAGCTGCATATTGAAAAGTGTCCAAAACCTGAATCTGACATCTTCGCAAAAAGTGATGAGTGTAATGAATGTGAGCTTAAATTCAGCTTGGATGTTGTAGTCACGATCGTGTTTTGAGCTAATTTTATGAACAAACTCAAAACAATAGAAAAACCGTTTCTTGAAAATTTTTATTCAAAATCCAAAAAGTTAATCCTTTAAAGCAATTCGGAAAACACTATCTGGATCGTGGATCCGTTCATGCAAGTGAAATCAGCTGAACACATGGCAAAATTAAACACAAAATCCATCTCAAATTGGAGCACATTTTGTAATTTTTCTTTAGCACCAAAGAGAAAAATTTATAAAACGTCTATGAAACATTTAAAAATACATAAATTCCCTTTCAAAAACGTAATTGTCTTGGCCATAGAGTGCAAAATGTACCTGAAAATTCAGCAAAAACTTCACTGCCTTGGTTGCATTTCAAAACAGACCATGCGCTCCGTCGAGAAGAAAACAAGTTTGAATTCCTCGAAGGACGATTTCTTGATGAAAAGCTTCCCTTTCTCCACAAAAAGAAAGCTGAGCATTCTTTTGAACTTTTTCTTTCCATTTTTTGTCTTTTAACAGTGTATTTTTAACCTTGAAATGCAGAACTCTTGTCTTAAAACATCTGCATGGTGATCGCGCAGCAGCCATTTTGTTGAAACTGGATATCTGTCACTAAGGTTTACAAATATGGTAAAAGTGAATATTCACGAGCATTGAACGCGAGTTACACGTTTCAACCCCTTATGGGTTTCTGTATAAACCCAATAGACCTTGTTACTGATATGGCAGCCATATTGAATTACTTCAATAATCAGGATTATTATGGGATGCCCAGGGGGCATGAGCACCATCTGTTATACTTGCTTAGTATTAGAAATATTAAGAGAAAATGTCCCTGAAGGCATGTGTTAATGCTGACAAATATACTGGAATGTGCTCATGCCCCCTGTGCATCCCATAATGCTCCTTAATTCTAACCAATTCAATATGGCCACCGAATCGGTAAAAAGTTCTATTACATTTTGATATTTTGCTTGGGGTACTCCAGGGTTTGAGCCAGGCCGCGCCATTGCGCCAATCCTGCACTACAAAAAAAACGGCCAAGGGGACAATTTGTCCCCTTCAAAATTTAGGGGAAAAACTCGAAAGGAAGCACACACGAAGAGATTTATTTCAGTACAGAAATTGCAAGCTGAAACAGAACATGGAAAGTATATTTTATCGCACCTTTAAAGTTCATTCCAAAGTTACGTTTCAGTCACACTGTACTGCTATTTTTGTCGGAAATCTAAGACAGGGCTTCTGATTCTTCGCGCGGTCGCGGAGCCGCGAAATTCACAAAAACACGAAAAATACCGCGAAATGCGGTAGGAATCTTATCAAATACATGTCTGTAAAACACATTTGAAACTTATTTCAGCTATAGGGGCTATTTACTTGCCGTAAACTAGAAATTTATCTTGGAACTTCGTCACTGAAACGTGCAAACAGATTATGTTGCGAACAACTGGGCACTAGCCATGATGTTAAAGGCTTTGCCATTGGTTCATTTCTGGAGCGTATTGTTGTTGAAAGAGCAAATGATGAGCTCTGTTAGAAAAACGTTAAAAAGGCTGGTCTGATCAGCGCAAAACTGATCGATTTCTAGCGAAATTTGCCTTGAAAATAACCACAAAATCGGCCGTTTTTTACCGATTGCTTTTCGGTGAAGTTTGCCCCAAAAACTCCTGCGCAATCAGCCGATTTTTCCGCAAATTTGTCCCTAAAAATCCCGCGAAATTTGACTTTTTCTTCCGAGACCTATCAGAAGCCCTGCTAAGAAGACAAACCCCTTTGCATCAGCAGAAGGGTGTACAAATTTCTGTCCCCCTGAAAATGAAAATGTCCCCCAAAAATTTAGCCAAGGGAACAAATTGTCCCCCAGTGATCAAATCCTAGCTCAAACCCTGGTACTCCATAAGAATTTATGGTAAATAATTGTAACAGCCCTGATGTGGCACTAATTCAAGGAATTCAGTATAACTAAAATAACACCACGAAGCAAGTCTAACAGAGCACTGGAAAATTGTTTTCATTAAAAAACAATGTTCTCAGTCAGTTCAAAGTGATTATATTTTGATCACCGCTTGCCCATTTAGTTCTCTCTCCAAAATTCTTGTAAGATGTAGTTAGTGGTTACCATTATTTTAAAAAAGTTTCTGTTTTTTACTGTAAAATTGTTGTACAGATAGAAAATATACCGTTAAAATTATAAGAAAAATATCTTTGTTGTGTCCAGTTTTTTCAAATAAACACCGCCCTTAGCTAATAAGCACTGCATTTGAGGCACGGAAAATTTACTTAAATATTAAGAACGGTGGCCCTTATTAAGTATTAACATGTGCCACAGTGCTTTATATTCGAATCAATATGGTAGCAAAAATAAAATTACTAATCTGGTACTGTAATCAAACTACCAGAAAAAGCCAAAATTTGAATTCTTGTGACCCCCCCCCAATCTTGAAAATCATTGACATGTTGCTATAATTTACCATAAAACTGGAGTAGAAAAAAATTGAAACCTGTTCTTTAACTGGTGGTGGCTGTTTGCCACAGATGTGTTTGCAAATTGAGATGAAGCTGTGTAAAGTTACTACATCATTAATGATTAATAAAAAATTCAAAACTAATGCTGTTGTCTGGGTTCAAGGAACCACATGGAAGACACCCAAGTAAATTGTATACAATCCAGTGTAAACAAAAATTAATTGTAGCAATTTCTGTCCATTTTTTGTTTATGGTTTGACATTTTAAGACTGTATTTTAAAAATGTACTCAGTTTTTGGTAAGTGAGAAATAATATATAAAATAATTGTAAAAAGTAGAACGGTAGGACTGGAAATATTTAGTCATGTATTTGGTTGAGACTGACTTTTTTTTTATGACAATATTATTTCAGCTGAAGATTCATTAAAAGAAAATAAAAAAAATTGAGTGCACAATAATATTTGAATTTTAAACTGTGTTTAAAATTGTAACTGATAGTGGTGTCATTCAGTTTTTTCTTTGGTTTGAAATTTTCGTTTGTCTTAGAGCCATTACCATTTTTTCAAAATATAATACAAAATTTATTTGGCTTTAAACTGGGAACCACATGACAAATTAACATTAATTTAAGAAATGTGGCTGGTAATTCCATCATGCGATAGACTAAATGTGTGTCAACCAGTAAGGTCTTTTAAATCATTTCAAAAAATCTCTTTACAATTTATTGGACAATTTTTCCTCAAGATGGGTTTTATTACTAAGTGTCTACTGATTGAAGCTCAAAATCGTTGACTTTAATTTTTCTTTGATTTGCTACATTTATAATATAAATGTTCTTTGTATAGCAAAATTAACAGCTGATGGCGTAACTAGTGCAGGTTGTTACCTGGTGTCACATGTACTTGTTGTTTGATTGAATATGAAGGAACAAAAGAACAGTGAATTATGGGAAGTGTTTTTGTGTGCTATAGCACATGGACTTAAATGAAATGTTTCTGGCTGTTAGGAAGTCTACACCCATCCCTCTCATTTAATTTCATTATCTTGTGCTAGAACTTTAATTAACATATACCCTGGTAGATTATCACTTTGACTTCCTCTCTGACTGATCAGTTGTGATAGAGAAGGCAGTGTTTAAGAGATTTATCAGACAACTGTTTTTCTTGATTGTGTCAAGAATCAAGCCACTTCTGCTGACTGCCCTGCCATAGTTTTGATATTCTGTCTGCAATGGGTAATTTTACCATTCGAAAAGTGACAGATCTGGTGATCCTGGCATGCATTTTAGTTGCCACATTTGCAACATTATTTACACACTTCCATGGGCTTAGGGTGCCATTTTTCAAGCAAGCAACTGAAAAACTGATTTATCTGGGAGAACCATTAAATTTGGAAGGAGTTTCTTATGACACCTCCAATGAAGATGCAATGATGATGGAGCTACTAAGACCTTCACCCCCTGATGAGTATCCAACTCCAAGACGTATCAGGAGGGGGACATCAGATGACACCTCTGGTACCCTGTTTTTTATGTGTAATGCCATAGTTTGCATATCTTAGGCCTCGTCCTCACATATCCAGATATTTATGAAAACAAAGATTTTTTCTTCACTGTCATAAAAGCATACATCTTAGTACATGTAGTGTATTTGAATCTTTTTGGCCCATCCATGGGAAAATGCCCAAACAATGGAAATATGATGGCGTCCATTAAAGAGCCTGTGCTGTATGATACATGCAGAGATCGTTTTTAATCTGTCCATAAGAAAATGAAAAACTTAATATTTTGCTGAGCAGACTCTAAATAAGACTAAATAGATAGTACCATGTGAACGTAAGGCTGAAGAGATTTCATTTGAATGGTAACGTCATCGAATTTTGTCCACAGACTCAAAAGTTACAACTCATACTAATAATTTATTATTAATAGTAACTTGTACTGAACCCAGTTGTTGATAAAGTAGCTAATGCTATCCACTGGATAAATCCCTGTCCACTGGATAATGCAGCATTAGTTTCTCTAATATTTATCTGTTGAATAGTTACCTTAATCTCACTTAATTTCGTGAACATATTAAATTTCGCGATTTAGGATTGCGAAACTTAATACTCGCAAAAGCTAAAAATCCCTCAAAATTCCCTCAAAATCCCAAAAAATAGCAAATATAGCTAATGGTTTTTTTTTTTGCAAAATTTAATACTCAGGAAATTAAGTGAGAATAAGGTATTTATCTGGTGGATAGCTGATGAACAGGTTTCATTTGAATGGTCACTCCTCATGATTTCATTTGCAGACTTGAAAGAACATTGGATGTCTTCATAATATTAATGTGTTTGGAGCTGAAAGGGTTAGGGTTGAACTCTTGAAAAGTGAGAGGGAGCAGGTGGAGTTATCTTTACGTTATTAAACTTCTTTCTTCCAGTTACTCCTGGCATTTCCAAGAAGGAATACAGAGACAGAAGACATAGACTCCTCAGGTAAGCCATCTTGGGTACCAGTAATACAAATTTTAACCACCTTTTCTTATGTAAACTGGTCTTGATTTAGTATTTGACAGTCAAGCCAGGTCAAGCATACCGCCCCCCCAAGATGCCATTAATGAATTTGTTATTCAAAAGTTGAATTCGTTGGTAGTTGCAGATTTCAGATTCATGTCTGCATTCTTGCATGCATAGTAACTCAGCCATGAGTTCACACTCGAGGCAGTTATGAAATTTCTGCCAGCTCAGTTTCCCTGAATTTGATGTAAATGTCTTCTAAGAAACTTAATCCATTCAAAGATTTTCAATCTGACTAATTACAGAGAAGTTCTTGTAAACTATTCACTGCTTATTACATATGCATGAATGCCGATTTAAATTTGCCACTAGTTACGGGAACAACTAACGGATTCATTTTTCAAATAATCAATTAATTAATAGAATCTTGGTTGGTACGCTTCACCTCCCTTGACTTTAAGACTAGATGTACATTTGTATGTGTGCATGTCTGGAAATGTGTTAGCCTGCAAAGCAGGCATATTTTGCGGTGCGAACGGTGATACTTTTTTGGGGGGGATGAATGCTCTCCACCATCTTGCATGTTGAAACTAACAGAGAGTTGGGGAAAATCAAAAACTGATTTCAAGGGAGAGGTTGGGGGATTTAAAATATAGAAAGGTGAGGGAGAGAGTAGGAAAACATACTCCCTCCTTCCCACCCCTCCCCCTTTTCCACCCCTCCTCCCTTAATTTACTTTTTCGTTCCAATCTTACTACCTCTGAATCTCTATTAGAAAATAACGCCTGCTCCATGTGCTAGATACCTGTAGTTGCCATGCCAGCCAATCTCATTTCTTAGACTCAGAGGAGTACGTTGTCAGGTTTCTGAGCCCAATTTTGGGTTTAAGCTTAGCATATTATAGACATTGCTTTAACTTTGAGATGGAATACTGCCTATAAAAGTAATTATTGCATCCCCCAAATGAGGTTGATCTGAAGTGATATATGTAAGGTAGCATAAATGGTAGACCAAACACCATTATAAACACCAAGTAGTGTGATGTGTATAACCAGTTTCAAGTCTCTAAACTAGCACTAGTTTTAACAAAATTAAGCACTCAATTGCTGTTTCTTTAAGCAACCATACACTTTCATGAACAGGGGCAGGGTAGGTTGAAGCTTGTGAAGATAGATCTTCTCTCTAATTAATGAGAAAATCATTATTTTCAGTTGTATTGCTAAATGATTTTATACTTCTAGAATTTTGTTTTACTTTTTTTGTGTCTTGCAGTTTGCTTGCCAAGACACATTTTGGAGAAACCCATGATAAACACGTAGTGATCATTCCAAGTAATCCAAGATTGTACATGACAACAGATGTGCCGTAAGTCAGAAATGAAACTAAACCATTCAACACCTGAACTATCTGTAATTGCCTGGGCTTAGTTTTAACAGTCATAGACAACTTTGACACTTAAGTGCAGGGAGAAAAGATCTTTGAACTTTGCCCAAATGAGCAAGATTCAGTCAAGCAGGGTGTAGAAAATTATGCAAAAAAACCTGTTAAGTGACCAAAAATTCCAGTGAAAATCTTGTCTCACTGCCCAGCGCTAATTCCTTTCAGATAATTTCATGATCCTCTCGATTTTCACAGAAAAGAGGCAAGAGGGAGAGGGATTGAAAGTTTAAGTTGAGGGGGCTGTGTTACTTTAAAGCCAAAATCATCTAGAAATTTTGCCTTGTGTGTGTTACAGGTCAAATTTGATTTCAGGTTAAATTTTTTTTAACCCTTTAAGCCCCAGTGGTGACCAATATCAATTTTCTCCCAACGTATCCATACCTTGTCAAGAGATAAGGCTATGAGAATTAATGAAATGATCACTTAAGAGAAAATGCTTTGATCTTTTATCAAATTCTCTCAACTACCTCTTTAAGGAAATGTATAGAGATCAGTTTGGAGAATTTGTATGTAGTTATTGGGACTTAAAGGGTTAACCTCGGTTGACTCACAATTTCCTTTCTCTTCTATGGCTAGGAGACAAAGGAAATTGAGAATCAACCTAGGTTAAATCAAAATTAACCTGAAATCAAATTTGACCTGTAGCATATGCATTCCAAAGATCAGAAGCTGTAACTTAGCATCAGGAACAGAATGCAGAATATAATGCTCGACTTCTGAACAGTTTTGGTTGTTTCTGGCCAGATAGTGACTAGAAAATGGCTCATAACCAGCTTCAAATAGCACTTTTAGCAAAATTTCTTGGCCAAATGGGTTAATGATGGATTTCCATGTTCAAGGGAATAATGTTATTTTTGGTTGGTAGAGTGATTTTGCATAAGCTGATTTTTATATGCTAAATTATAAGTTTTAAGGAACAATAAAGAAGAGAGCAAAGTGAGAGTATTGTTAATTGTATTGCCAAACTGCAAGTGTGATAAAAGAATGATATTTAAGATACAAAATCTTCACTTTTACTCATCATAATCAGAAAGGTCTCATCTAGTTATTTTTTTGGCATTTTTAGGTACCCTTTCCGACAAAACACAGATTTTCTATACTTAACAGGATTCCAAGAACCGGATGCAGTTTTAGTTTTGCGTAAGTAGTATTAATAATACCAGTAGTTACCTTATAACTATAACCTTATATTAAAACCATGAATAAATGAATTGGTTTCTAATAATTGTCTTAGTTGTTATTCAGTTTTGAATCCTGTAAGGGACTCAGACTTTTTTCTATGCCCTGTGCTTGTGATACAACAAATTTATATACATCAACGTTTCCTTTACTGGATTATTTTATTCTACAGCCCTTAATTAATGTAACACTGACCTTTATTGAGCAGTCGACCCTGTTAAGTGGTTGTGGTCACCTTGCCACCATTCCTAACCCCCGAGATGAGTCACTCAACTGAGATGGATAAGTGGTCTGTGGATGCAATTCCAGTGTTTTGACATTATGGACAAAAGTTCACCTTTTATGTCATGGGTGACGAATTACTCCTTAGCTTTGGCGTGAAATTTCACAAGGTTACAAAAATTGCCCTGGCAACCTTCAGTATGTCTCAGTGCCAAGATGGTGACAAAGTTTTAAAATTTTGTGAATGAAGATGTCAGAGATAAAAAACATCCCTTCTAGCAGTCAGAGACAAGTAGATTTTCTTGATGTGCAAGTAACTTTTAAAGCTTACTTGCCCAATAGGGTCTTTGACTTAATAATTTGTGAAAGCTGCTTGCCCAAAGGACTAGCTGAGATTCAAGTTTTTTTTTCAAGCCCTGTCTTACAATGTAGCATGAAAAGTGTCTAAAATCACTGTTTTTCTTTGTTTAAAATCATGATCTTGGACCAGTTGGCTAAATCCTTCTCCCATCAATTTTTGTTTCTTTGTTCGTCAATGCCCCTTTGTTTTTATCTGGAGTTAGAAAAGTTAGGCAAGCTGACATTGTGTAATCTATGTCCGTTTTTGCTGATTCATTCATACACTTTGTTTTCCCAATTATTCTGTTGAAATACTCCTTGTGCTTTCTACATTTCTCTTGACCAGTTCTTTAAAAGGGCCACAAAGGGTACCATTCTGTCCAATCCCTTCCCCGAAACCTCTATCCAGATTTTTCTTTTGACTTTTTACCAAGATAAAATATTTATCTATTGGATGATTTGCCTAGATAAGTAACGCTACTGACAAGCTTAAATTTGGCTTTTGAATCCTGTCAAGGACTTAAGATTGTAGTCCTTTTTGCGTATTTCTGAACTGAAGGTTACTAGATCTTAGTTTTATATTGCACAACTTCCACTGATGGTACATGTTGTTGATAATAATTGTTTACAATGTAATTCCAAGTTTCATTTCTTCACAGAGTCAGTAGATGGACTTCCCTTACCAGCTCATAAAAGTACCTTGTTCATCCAACCACCTGACCCAAAAAGGTGAAACAACCTTTAAGCTTCTCTGAGTAGATAGATTATTAATTTTTACTTGTAGTACTCCTTGGGAAAAAAATGTGCCTTTACAAAACAGATTACTTAATTCAATATTGTTTCCCGGTACCTGTGTCATGATTTGTTTGGATTCCTAGTCTACCACAGTATTTTAAAGTAATGTTTGTCACGTAATATTATCTACACTAGCGTTTGTAATGGCCTCGAATTTTCCTTCTTATTTTAAGGGAGTTGTGGGAAGGCAAACGACCAGGAACAAGAGATGCAATTCTCTTCTTTGGATTTGATGAGGTGACTTGATGTGTTAATTATCACACAAACCTTCAAGATTTTCCTGACACTCTAGCATCAATGTCCAGTTCCTGTACTTCATTTGAACCAACGTCATTTTGGCGGGAAAATGTGATAGCCGTCGTCAGTCTCCTACGACTTCTTTACGAGTTTTAGCGAGAATGTCGTAGTTGCCAAAACGAGCTAGCAAATGTTAAAAATTTTATCATGTAGCGCTCGGGAGAGGGTATTACCTCCTTTAGCGGAAATAAGCATGCTAATTTTTTAGGTTAAAACAGTACAATGAAGCCTTTCGGGCTGTCTGTATTTTTAGAGAATAGGCGAGAAAACTTTAAATTTTAATGTTTTCCTCGTCCTCAAATCTAAAGCTCTCTAGCAATTATTAGATGAAGCTGATTATGATCTGAAGAATTGTGCAGATCACGGAGGGTGTTATCTTCAGCCTCGGCAGAAAACACCCTCTGAGAGTTGCATAATTTATTTTTTCAGTTGATATAAAAGCCAGGTCCATTAATCGTCTTATTGTTCATGCAAAATAATTCATACTTAAAAACATGCTTACTTCGATTGATGTTATTTTCCTGTTGTCACTTCGTTGTTTCTGTGAAAATTCAGAGTATAAAGTGATGTCTCGTCTAGGGGATATTCGTCGATGTTTCCTATCGCTTTGTTTTTTCTCATACTGTCAATGAGAGCAACTCGTACTAAGAAGGGGTACCTTTAGCTGGAAAAGAAAGAAAGAGCAAACTTTGCAGGCGCGGATCCACACCGGTTTCCACTGTTTTACCGAAATCGGTCAGATTTTTGATAAGAAATCTATTTTTTAACAATAAAAAAACTTTCCAAGTTGAAATCTTATTCTCTCTTGTTTATGTTCATTCACTAATGAAATAATCTGATGGAATAATCTGCCGAATTGCAAGGCTTCATCCGAGGAGAATGGTACTGGCCAGTATCCTGTCTGAATGACTCAGAAACCCAGGAAACGGGACTTTAGGGAGTTAAAATCCCAAGAATTTCTCAATGGAGCATGCCCCTGGACTGCCCCAGAAACTTGTGCCTTTTGCGAGCGTTTAGGAAATTGGTCAATATTTATCCTAGATCCCTGCCTGTTTTGTATTGATACTTTCTATAACTGGCAAATATAAAATGACAATAATCCTGAAAACTGTTTCTATTTCCTCTTTTCTCTTCAGTCATATTCAGTTCGGAACCTTCCTTCAGTCCTTATTGATAGGTAAGTTCTTGTTACATGGTACGTCTTCACCTCAAGTTTTAGTTAGGTATTGTTGTAATGTGAAAGTCTAAGTAGTCAGATTAATTTCAGCATTATACCTTTGTGAATAAGTGTCCTGGAAATCACTCAACAAAACTACATACCAAAACTAAAGCGAACAAATACCAAGGTGTATGTTTGAATAAAGTCTTGTTGTTGTTGGAAAGGCACAATCCAATGTCATGTTATTAATGGCTTCATGTTATGTGCACAAAAGAAACAAGACCCCCAGTGACCTCCTTTCCAACAAGGGGTAGGACATGTAAGTCAGAGTATTAGTATCCAGAGCTATTAGAGCTTGGGTACTGCTTGACACGGTTTACGGTCAAGTCGCACGAAAGTCATCTCGCCCGAAATTATATCGCCCGAAACCAGATTTATGTCACTCGAAATTTTTCGTCTCGGGGATTTCGTCAATTCGCCCAAAATTTTATCATGCTTAGCAACATCGTATCACCTTAATCGCGCTTGTTTCGTTTCATGAAATCTTCAAGAACAAGATGTATTACTCATTTGACGTGCCTGTTTCGTTTACTTAAGGCTAAAAGAACGGGATACGATACACATTCCTCCCGTTTGTTTCGTCTCACCATAGCATCATTGCTTAAAGAGCGAGACTTAATTATCACAATTATTGTCACATTATCGCTTAAATAACGAGGTATATTACATACTCTCTTTATTAAAATTTCGGACGACTTGACTAAACATTTCGGGCGAAATGACTCTGGTTTCGGGCGATAAATTTAAACTTCGGACGAGATGACTTTCGAGCGACTTGACCAGTTACCCATGTCACAAACCTATTGAAAAGCTTGTGGAAGTCAGACTTAACCAAGACAACGTTAGGTACATCCTCTCCCCGTAAGGCCAGCTGGGAAGTTTGCTAGTTAGGTAGCTCTGGGTCTGCAATGGAGGTAAAAAGACCTTGGGACGGCTGGGAAAACCCTTCCAAGTAATGTATGAGGCACAAACTCCAAATTTTGATTACAACTTTTGGATCGGCTTTAGGTTCATCCCTTGATCCCCTACTTTCCTTAAGCAATATTTTGCAGGAAAAAGGAACTTATTTGCACCGATCTTGCTTGAAATTCAACGTTGTTTGGGTGAAATGGGGTAGGTAGCCTGTTGCACTAAGACGGTGTCGGGTGAATGTTCCAACACTTTTCACCTGCATTGTTGTTAAAACGTTGAAAGTGTAACTCAATAAAAACTGAACGCTTTCCTTTCTTGGAACACCGTTTACAGGTTTGCTGGCAAAGACTTCTGTGTTTGGTATGATCATTTGCGACCTCCCCACCCCACCCTTCATGACGAAATCTCCAAGGTTCTGTTCAACTCAGAAAAGTTTACTTATAAAAGTAAGTGTCTTTGAGAGAATTATGACTTGAGTTTTGATACACCGTGACGTTTTTAGCCTTCGTTGCTTGGGGTTTGTATGGTGAGAGGGAGAGAGAGCTTCTTGTTCCCGCCCTTAGTTCTGCCCGTGGCCTCGCGCGCGTTTCCTCTTTTTTTTTTCTCTCTATCGCGAAACAAACCTCCAGATACGCGCGCTATTTTTTCTGATGCTTTGAGATCGAGAAATTCGAAGCGGTTTCTTATGGTGTAAACAAGTTCCACAGTTAAATGTATCTCTTGACCGGAATAATGCAAACAAGCAACAAAAAAGTAGTATGATGTCTTAAATGAAAGGTTTCCAGATCAGTCTAAGATTCTGAGAAACTACCCACCTACCCGTGTCCTAACCAGCAATTTTGCCCTGAACGAGAAGTCAGTGTAAACTTCGGGTTATGGGATGGGTAGTTGAGCTGTTTGCATTTGTTTATTCTATCGACTAGTGTTACTTATTTCCTTTTCAGATTTGTTGATTCTTGGCCACAACACGCACATGTTGAGGCTTATAAAATCTGAAGCAGAAATAAAACTCCTCAGGCAATCAGCTTCTTTAACAGCTAAAGCTTTTAAGAAGGTAAGAAAGATGCCACGTCACAGAAACCCAGTATTGTGTTTCTTTGTGCGCGCGCAGGGAGGGGTGATGTGGTGGGGGGGGGGGGGGGGTTGGGGCATACGCGTCGTACGAAACCATTTTCAAAGGGCGGGAAAGAGACCTGGATCTCGACATTCATGCCTGCCTATTATAGCGAAGGACTTTCGGCAAGTCTCCAAATATTTTGTTGGCTCTGTGTAAAGATTAGAAGTTATTATTTACCAACTCAATTAAACCTCGCAGAAGCAAGAAGACTTCGGAAAGAAGGTCCATGTTTTAAATGTGAAGCCGTCGTTACTATGGGAAACGAATTCATCATGAATTGATCGCCAAAAAATGGCGGTAATTCCTTCCAAGAAATTGTTGTTAGAAGGATGGCCTCCTTACCCTTGTTTCTTTGTTTCTTAAGGTGATGCAAAGCACTCGTCCAGGCCTGGAGGAATCCCATCTCCACAACATAGTAGAGTACGAATGTCGGATGGCAGGAGCTGAAAGGCTAGCTTACCCTCCTGTGGTAGCAAGTGGACCAATGGCAAATACTCTACATTATATTAACAATACGCAAGTTCTCAGGTAAATGTTGAACTAATAACTATGTTATTGTTGTGAGTTAATCAAGAGTTTTGGACTTGCCTTAACGGAAAACGGCAAGCATCAGATTCACGTTGAAAAATAATTTTTCGAATGGGAAATGAACATAGAAGAATTTTACCAAGTAACTCTTCTTACGGATGAAGTGCATAAAAAAACCGAACAGTAAAGTACAATTGAGGGGAAAAACTTATTCACGTGATACACGTTCGTGGTTTGCCATAAACGCGATTCTTAATCTTTCTAATAGCAAGAACGCTGACGTTTCGGACGTCATGATTAGCAAGCGGAAGTTCGATATCTCGCTTTATGTAACGCTTGTCTCACTTAACGAATCTGAATGCATTTGTTTTAACTCTCGCTGAACGAAGTTGTCGAGTCAGAGCACTGAAAGAGAGAAAATATCAACTTTCGGTGGCTATTTTTCACTTCCGGGACGTATCATTACCAGCTGTGAGACTGTTCTTTTCCCCCTTCTTTCCATTTACCCACGCGCACATCTCAAGAGATTTGACTGGGGACTAGTCAAGGAACGCTTACTTTACGAAGGATCTATTATATGACAAAAAGAGCGTTTGTTTCCTCCGGAAGCAAAACTGGTAATACGAGAAGGGCTAAACAGGTCCGTCATGTTAGCCCGCCGAGATAGTCATGTATTATTATTATGTAAAACGTCGCAATGAAAGCACAAAACTCAGTCTTGAACACGTCTCAAAAGTGATCTTTCGCGGCAGGTTATTAAACTGTTTAAAGTAATACCCGGTTCAGTCGCGATCCCTTACGAAAGGTGCTTACACTGTAAATGTATTACGTATTCATTTTGCCTTTTAATTTCTGTAGGGCTGGCGAGCTTGTGTTGATGGACGCTGGGAGCGAATACCATGGATACGCCAGCGATATCACCAGAACATGGCCGGTCAGCGGTAAATTCAATGACGCGCAGAGACAGCTGTATGAACTGGTGCTAAGAGTACACAAGAAGTGCATCAAGGTAAGATTTTCCTGCCCAGACGACGGTAACCATTGTTTCCTGCATCAAAATCAAATGACTAACGGAAGGAAAGGAAAAATATCGCGGGGACCGTAGACAATTCTTGTCGTTGCACATGTAGATGATGGCAAACCTACTTGAAAACTTTTAAGCACATGAAGAAATCGCGGTCGTCTTCTCACCCCACCCTCCCGCTTTAGGTAAACGGGTGTGGCAGTTTTAAGAGTTAGATGTTGATGTGAGTGTTTTAAAATAAACGCAGTTAATGGCTGTAGTTTGATCAAGAAATGAAAATACTAGTATGTCTCAGATTAATGTTTCATTCATGCTACAGCGAGCGACCTAGTGACAGCGTTTATTCGCCAAAACAAAACAAAAGAAATTGATTTAGCCCCTAGTACCATTTGAGGAGATTGTTTTACGTCTGCTACTGGAGACAGGACAGCTTTTTCGATTCAGTTTGGTCATCGGAGCCAGGCGAAGGTCTAGCCGTTTGTAGGACCAATGCGGCATTACGTTCATTTCTTAGTTATTGTAGACCCTAAGTGCAAGTCTGGCCCAGAGATCGAACTCACGATCTTCTGCTCCGCAGTTCAGCGTTCTACCAACTGAGCTACCCCAGGCACAGTTCACTGAACTACCACTAACTAGAAGTGCTGCAGTGAATGTTCTGCATTGAAAAGGACGCTAGATTCGAGAATTAACACTTTTGGTATCCAAGCTATCCCTGTCTAAAAAGTAATTTCATTAGTAAGTTGATTTTGCGAGTGTGACTGCAACATTCGAGCTGTCAATGTGTTTTTGTGCTTCCAGCTTTGTCAAAAAGGTGCCTCACTTGATTACATCCACCATGCCATGTTAATACTCCTTGGAGAAGAACTAGCCAGTAAGTACACATGTTTTTTAAAAACAAACTGTTTTATTTTTTTGTCTTTTTCTTTCCCTATTTTTACAATGCCCTGTCGACCTTCTATTTGGCCTTTGCGGTGTAGCTGCCATCTGCTGTCAGTCTGTGAAGAATCCCGTGGTACTGATACTCGATCCCGTGGTAGTAATCCCTGATCCCGTGGTAGTAATCCCCGAACCCACCGTATTGATCCACGATTCCGTGGTATAGACCGTTCATCCCGTGGTAATGATCCCTAATCGCGCTTATCTTGTTGTGATCCTAATATGTCTACAAAAAGACAAGCAAGGCCTGTTTTTCAAGAAAAGGTTTGGCTTTAATGCTTTTTAAAATGCCTTTTTCTTGGTTCAAAATTAAACTAGGTCCCGTACGGTATCAAAACCTTTTTTACTTGTAGGCATCATCTGACTAGTTTTCATTGTGGTCTCTTATCTTGATAGAAATCAATTTTATTCCGAAGAACCTTACAGAAAGTCATCTAAAAAGGGTAATTATCTAGTAGTTAAATGGCTTGTTTTCTACAAATTAAACTAGAACGATCGTGAAAAAGCACTTTTCTTTGCGTGTCAGTAAAATCAAATCCTCTCTTGGTAAAATCCGTTCTCAAGTAAATCCAGGTGCTTTTTGGCTCATATGAATAATCAGGGCTAGAAAATATAGAAAATTCTGTATGAAACTAGGTTGAATACTGGTTCGACCTGGGAACGGATTTAACCTACGAAATAAAAAACTGTGACTATATTATATGATGTTGTCAATGTTATGTTATAACAATGTTATAACATCATTGTTATAACATTGTTATAACATCACGGCTTAATTGACCGACAACCAATAACATCGCGGCTTTGACTCTGAAGATGAATACCGCACATGTTGTCAAAACGTTAGTCACTATCGACAATAGTCCTATTCAGGACTTCACTCACCCAGAAGATCACATTCCACCTACTTATGAAGTAACCCTTCTAGTGCAACTCTTCTATCACAGCGCTTTCGATGGCACATTAAATTATCAAATTACACTGCCCTAGAAGTGTTAATTTACGAATTTTGTTTCAGTAACCATAAACTGTAACATATCTGTGTCTGAGCCCTGAACAGTAATTCGTTTCCAGAGGCTGAATATTGGTTGTGTGGCTTTCAGGCTGCTAGTGAATTCTGCCCTCATCACGTGGGACACTATCTGGGGATGGACACCACGACACGCATTTGGTGAGCAGAGGCCTGGGACTACATCCGGGTATGGTTATCACGGTGGAACCAGGGATATACATATCAGCGGACAACAGCGAAGTTCCCGAGAGGTCAGCAATTACTATTAATTCGCCATTTGTACATCTCCCATAATACACTATTTAACCTCCCCCCCACCAATTTTGCATAACCTTTGTTTTTCATTTCTCCCGTTATTAAGGCCGTCTCAAGAGAAAAAAATTGAATTGTGGGGGCGGGGGAGAGTAAACAAGGTGCATTTTGGGAGATGTGCAAGTGGCGATCCTTAGCTCACCTTTTTACCTCTTTTCTGATTGGTTATCACACCAATCTGCTCTCCCACTTTTTGTAGCGGTTGCAACGTAGACAGAAACATGTCTCCTTTTTGTGATAACATTTCGATAACATAACAACTTAAACTTCGTATAATCCACAAATCACGTGACTATTTCAATATTCATAATGTGCACATTGTATAATATGGGTAGGACAAACGGCTTTGTTGTGGTGTCTTAACGTTTGTTATTCCCTTTACAATTGCATAAGTACTTTTGTGTTTTAATAGATGTTCAAAGTTCGTGATCACGAGTACAAACAAAGTTTAGCTTAACCTTTTAAGCCCCAATATCAACATAAAAATCTCCACACTGATCTCCATACGTTTCCTTGAAAAACTAGTTGACAGAATGTGTTTTAAGATCAAAGTATTTTGACTTAAGTGATCATTTTATCAATTCTCATAACCCAGTCTCTTGATTATGTATTGATATTGTGAGGAGAATATTGATGTCACTCTTGGGACTTAAAGGGTTAAAGCGCGGTTTTAGTAGCCTGCATTGCAGACGTAATTGAATCCCGGTTAGTAACGTCTGCAAAGCAGCAATAAGATCCTTGTTCTGGCCCCCAAAGGACTCAACGAATTAAGTGCGTTTCGAATTCTCCTTCAACCTGTTTGGTGAATCGACAATAGAGAGCTTTAGATTCAAGCACTAGAGCGACTACGAGTACGAGTTTTAACTTAAAGTTTTTTCGCGTATTCTCAAAAAATAGACACCCCGGAAAGCTTCAATGTACTTTTGATTCACCAGAAAAGTTAACAGTGCCATCTTTTTATATGAAAGGAGGTTAAGCCCTCTCCCGATTGCAAAATGATAAAACTTGTAGTATTTGATAACTCGTTTCCGACACTACGACATTCTCGCTAAAACTTGTAGTAGAATGACGACGGCTACACGTTTTCCCGCCAAAATGACGCTGGTTCACGCGTAAGCAATACTCAGTATTGAGAAAATCTCGTACTCGTAGTCGTTTTCGTCTGAGAATCTAAAGGTCTCTGTTAGCCTTTTTAACCGGCCAACCGTGGCCTTGAGTACCTATCAGGCTCTGTAATAAAATTGTTTTTACTTCGTAGGTATCGAGGGATAGGCATAAGAATCGAGGACGATGTCTTTATAACTGAAAGTGGACCTGAAGTTCTAACGGCTGAATGTCCAAAGGAAGTGGAAGATATTGAACGGCTGATGAGCAGTGCCGACTTGGCAAGGCTCTAACTGAGGCGAACATTTTCCACACTTTTTTTTCAAGTGTAATAAGATTGGTGGTGGATCCTGGAAGACCGCCAACTTTCAAGCTCCGTGGACTTTTATTAAAATAAGAGACCTTCATGCCAAGCTGTGCTTTCGATTCGAAGTTTTATTATGTTGACTTCTTTGGCGGGAAGAGGTTAGGAGAATTTTTAATTAATCTATCACCAAAGGACAGATGCTCTGATCGTTTATCAAATTTCCTTAACTAATTCCTTAAGGAAATTTATTGAGATAAGTCTGACCCGCTACAAGGCAGTCTTCTCCGAGCCCAGGGAGACTTCTAAATCAAAGGGACGGGATGCCCATTGGAAAATAGACCCCTTAAAAGATTGTACAAAACATGTCTCCCAAATAAGAGTTATACTAACTGTGCTAAAGATGTGAACATCGGATACTGACCTCATGCAACACGGTATTACAGCACTTGGCTCTTATTAAAAGATATTTCTTTGTACTCAACCCTACGAGATACTTGTATGGATAAAAATTATTTGGCTTACTTTCCTGAGCACTATAAGTTACACTAAAATCAACAGTTTATAACCCCCTGAGTGAGACAACAAGCATCCGTGTCTTTTATATGGGAGTAACCGCCTCCCCCACTTCGGCAACGTTTTGAAAGAGTAATGACTGTAAGGTAGAACACAAGAAGAGGAGAAACATCACTCATCCAGGTTAATCACCAAAGAATCAATTAATGGGATCATGTTAGCCTCTTTATATCTAAATTGTTGTGATTTACAGTGCCATGACGTGTTTAAGGGGTTAAAATATATTATTTTTAATTAAACACATTAACACTTCCGTGTTAAAGTTTGTTTTTCTAGTGTCACTATTTGAGATAACGGAGAGAATAGAATAGTCCTTTGGTGGGCCTTATTTACGAAATCTTCTTGGGTTATAGCATATTTTCAGGTAAAAATGTTGTTTATTTCTGTGCTAACAGTAAACCTATACTCTGTTATGACGTTATGCGTTGCGGTGTCGCCAAGATATGTGTGGTACAGTGTTCGCGTGTAGTGGGTTATTTTAATTGCGTCAAAGACACGCTTTTTATTAGAACTAGTAACAACCAAAGGTTACGGAATGCGGGCAGCAACGATCGAAGGTCAAAACGCTTTTGCTCCAACGCTGTGCTTTACGTAAGTTTCACGTTACAGATGGTCGAAACACGCGTGATCAGATTACGAGTGTTTGACGGTTCAAACGCGCGTGATCAAATTGCGCGGTTCTATACATTCCATTCATTCTTAGTGGAAGTCCAAACGAAAGCTGGGGTTCTTACCATTTACCCAAACCACGCGGGTCAAAATCTTGTGCATAAACATAAAACTGAAAAAATTGACGTGGTGGGAGAAAAACCCGCGACAAAGTCAGTATCCAGATCAGTTGAACAGACTAAAAAGAGTAGAAAAATTACATTGCCTAAAAACACAGCCCATGTTTTCTGAAACTTCCCAAACGGAATGGCGCGAACCAGTTGATTTTCCAACAGGAATTTCAGGTTTTTCCATGGAAATGCGTAATAACAAGCTGGAAATTAGAATTGGGGGCTCCTCTTGCCGCCCGCAACAAAATGTTAAGAGCAAAATCAAGCAAAGTTATAAACGAAAATGAAATGACCAGCTGGGGTAAGAGTTTGTCCCGACCGGGCCTGATGCAAGTGATCACGTAAATCCGCTCCACTATTCTTGTGACCCCAGTAACTAATAACCCCATGCTATGATCAATGACCTTCTCAATAATTTGTTGGATGCGACCTTTTTATGTGTCAGTGTGATAGAAGTGATTTTTTTGACTGAAAATTTTAATCAAAAGTTTTCCTCAACTTGCTGCGCTTTTCAAATGAATGATTATTTTTGTCTACCTAAAAGTTTTTAAAGTTTGTATTCTCGCTTTTTCGCACTTTTAATTTTAGTCGTGACGAGCGGGTGCAAAACAGGCTATTGTAGTCTTCGCAAATTCATTAGTTTTGTCAAACTGATGGTGGTGATCAACATCACTGAGCAATCAAATGTTACGAGTCAAAATGGTTCTTGTGCTAGCGATTCTTTAACACTAGTTTTCCTTAACTTTCTTCGCTTTTATTGTCGACCGAGAAGTTTGGAAAGTTTGTATGTTTCTTTCCCGGTACTTTTAATTTTATTCGGGGGCTAGCTTGTGGTAATTCACACAGCTATAGGCCTTTTTCAAAAATACCATAATATATTCTTTGTTGTGCCTCCAAAATTTTGCATTAGCATTGTTTACAATTTTTCTTGGGGCGAACGCCTATTGTCTACTCATTCACTAGCCAGTTTTGTCATCGATTTGTCAAGTTTTGATCAAGTCGGCATTTTTTTTTTCTGAATGCGTCTAATTCAAGCGTTAGTCTAATTGTTCATTGATGAACTGAGTGCTGTTTTTCTCAATGTATTGTCAAGTCCCATACCTAGTACTGTTTTGAACGTTATGTAATTAAGCGAGTCGGCAAACTTTTCTCTTTGGATGTGACCAATCTATGCTTTGATTGCCCATTGTTGAACATAGAATGCGTGTTTTTCTCAGATACAGTTTCAAGAAAAGATTTATCGAAAACATTTCTCACGCTGGTTTGAATTTTAATCGAGCGACCGTATAAATGGTGACACCAATTTCAAGTTGATTTAACTGTGTTTATCAAGACAGAAACCTCCGTACCTTGCCTGCCGTACAGTGAAGACCAAACTCAGCTAGTGGATCTCTGGTCTGGAATGAAAGTCAAGATCTCTTTTGCCTCCTCGAAAAGGGCAGGTTTGTTCTTAGTTGAACTTTAACTTTCCTCTGTGCGTTATTGTCGCCCGAAGTTACCTGTGAAAATGCATGGTCCCTTTGTTATGTTGGCTTGATAAATGTTAAACTGGAGGGACAAATATGTAATGAAGGTTTTTTACGGTGTAGTCAACAAGATAAACACGAGTTGCGTATGTTAGGATCAAATAGGCCTATTTTGTTGATGTCAGTGTAGAACAACGTGCTGTTCACTTCTGTGGCTACACATATAAAATAAACGTCAAACGTTGGATAGTTTGTTATTACTCTGACTAAGACTATATGCTTTTATATTTGATTAACCGCGACCTTATTAATTAATGAATGATTTGAATTTAAATTATGCTTTTATGCCGCACAAACGGGATGCAAACAAATTAAACCAAGTGTTGACCTTATGGCAATTTTGGCGTAAAGTGCTCAGCTTGCACCGGGAGAGAAATACAATGTTTCCCGGGACGGTTCAGGCTGACATAAGATAATAGTCGACAGAGGGGCAAGAGAGATGTGAATAAAACTGAAGGTAACGAGAAACCAGTTAAACAAGAAAATAAGGTTAATTCGGAGTGCAATTCTTAGACGTTTGTACGGTGATAATTACAACAACAAATAACACTTTCCATTTTTTAACAGGTTCTACCCGACCATAAGGAAAAGCAGAACAATTTGCCTTGCAAGAAAGTTCTTCAAAATAACAATAAACGTACTGCCACGGTCCTTAACAAGGATATGCAGCCAACTCATTTGTGCGTCTGTCATTTATTCAGTATATACCAAACCTATATGGTAAGTTCATTTTTTGCACAACACGGTCGGTTAGTCTAAATAAATTTCAAGAACAGGTCGTTGAGGTGGACAGAAGATTATTATTAGAAATAATAAACTACTGTTTCAATTCAGTGACCATAATAACCTGCTTTTCAAAAACTATGGAAAAGTACGCGCTCGGTCATTATTTTTAATAAGGTCTCCAGGCTCATCGATTAAGCTATATTAGTTTTCATGTTGCATCTTTTTTCACAGAAACTTCGAAGTAAGGTAGTTGGCCTCTGAAAATTCTGGTTTGGTATATACACGAAGAAAACTGCATGTTGTATTTAGTTATAAAATAAACCTCTTAAGGCCTCAAAAAAAAAAAAAATAACACAATCTAAAAGAAGTTTACGCTTTTAAATTTAGTGAAGAAAGTTCGGTTTCGTAAACAACACGAAACTTTACACACAGCTAAATTTCTCAGCGCGAACCAACTGTCAAAAATACACCAAAAAAAGCACTAAAGATACCTCAAAAAAGGTAAGTAAAAAGGTAAGTTTATTTATATTGTTTTTTTCTTAGCCCTGGGGACTAAGTGTTCCGCCCAGAGGGGGGAGAGCCCTGGGGACTAAGTGTTCCGCCCAGAGGGGGGAGAGCCCTGGGGACTAAGTGAGGGGGAGAGCCTGGGGACTAAGTGTTCCGCCCAGAGGGGGAGAGCCCTGGGGACTAAGTGTTCCGCCCAGAGGGGGAGAGCCCTGGGGACTAAGTGTTCCGCCCAGAGGGGAGAGCCTGGGGACTAAGTGTTCCGCCCAGAGCCCTGGGGGGGGGAGAGCCCTGGGGACTAAGTGTTCCGCCCAGAGGGGAGAGCCCTGGGGACTAAGTGTTCCGCCCAGAGGGGAGAGCCCTGGGGACTAAGTGTTCCGCCCAGAGGGGGGAGAGGGGAGAGCCCTGGGGACTAAGTGTTCCGCCCAGAGGGGAGAGCCCTGGGGACTAAGTGTTCCGCCCAGAGGGGAGAGCCCTGGGGACTAAGTGTTCGCCCCAGGGGGAGAGCCCGGGGGACTAAGCGTTCCGCCCAAGGGGGGAGAGCCCGGGGGACTAAGCGTTCCGCCCAAGGGGGGAGAGCCCGGGGGACTAAGCGTTCCGCCCAAGGGGGGAGAGCCCGGGGGACTAAGCGTTCCGCCCAAGGGGGGAGAGCCCGGGGGACTAAGCGTTCCGCCCAAGAGGGGAGAGCCCTGGGGGAGTTCCGCCCTGGGGACTAAGTGTTCCGCCCAGAGGGGAGAGCCCTGGGGACTAAGTGTTCCGCCCAGAGGGGAGAGCCCTGGGGACTAAGTGTTCCGCCCAGAGGGGAGAGCCCTGGGGACTAAGTGTTCCGCCCAGAGGGGGAGAGCCTGGGGACTAAGTGTTCCGCCCAGAGGGGGAGAGCCCTGGGGACTAAGTGTTCCGCCCAGAGGGGGAGAGCCCTGGGGACTAAGTGTTCCGCCCAGAGGGGGAGAGCCCTGGGGACTAAGTGTTCCGCCCAGAGGGGAGAGCCCTGGGGACTAAGTGTTCCGCCCAGAGGGGAGAGCCCTGGGGACTAAGTGTTCCGCCCAGAGGGGAGAGCCCTGGGGACTAAGTGTTCCGCCCAGAGGGGAGAGCCCTGGGGACTAAGTGTTCCGCCCAGAGGGGAGAGCCCTGGGGACTAAGTGTTCCGCCCAGAGGGGAGAGCCCTGGGGACTAAGTGTTCCGCCCAGAGGGGGAGAGCCTGGGGACTAAGTGTTCCGCCCAGAGGGGAGAGCCCTGGGGACTAAGTGTTCCGCCCAGAGGGGAGAGCCCTGGGGACTAAGTGTTCCGCCCAGAGGGGGAGAGCCCTGGGGACTAAGTGTTCCGCCCAGAGGGGAGAGCCCTGGGGACTAAGTGTTCCGCCCAGAGGGGAGAGCCCTGGGGACTAAGTGTTCCGCCCAGAGGGGAGAGCCCTGGGGACTAAGTGTTCCGCCCAGAGGGGGAGAGCCCTGGGGACTAAGTGTT